TACCAGATGTTAACTAGGTATAATGTGGATTTAAAAAAGGATTAAGGAAGGGGTAAGTGTTGATAGTTTACTGCTGTTTTTTACATTATAACATCTCTTCAGTGCTGTAATATACCTTCTGTAGAGGCTACTGTTACCGTAGAGACTATGGTCACTACTGACAATGTTCAGGAGCAGTGTTTAAAGCAAACAACCCCCAAAACCTTGCTGTGCTAGAGGTCTGGCCAGCATGCTGTCCAGTCTGATGGTGCCTGGTACTAGATGAATGGAGAAGAGAACCATGGTGCGTGTGTAAAATAATTCTACTCCTGTGTGTCTTTCCACATCTTAACCTGTCCAGAGATGTCCTGCATCAGATTTTGCTACCTATTGTTGAAGCCCTCATCTGCGTGTTTGACTCCCAGAATGGCTTATCCTTAAATCAGTTGGGATTAGGGAGAAAGGATCCTAAATTTTCATTTATCGGATAGTTTCCTATATCTTGAACTGAAGGCATAAAGAAATCTTTCTTCATATCTGAAAATCATTTAGGATTCTGTAAGTGTCACTTATCTGCCAGCAGCAGTTCTGTGACCAATTTAGCTGTGCCTGGGAGAGGAGAGGAACAGCTCAGCCTGTGACTGGAGAGCACCCAAGTCAGAGCTTCACTCGGGCGGTGGGGAGGGAGGTCTCCTCCAGCGAGTGTGACTTGACTGCTGCCTCCCAAACGGCGTTGGGTGACAGCGGTGGGAAGCGAGACAGAGCTGCTATGTGAAGCTGCAGAGCAATGTCATAGTGTGCTCGGTGACTGGAAGTGCTGGAGAAGGCTTAGCACAGACCAGCTGTGGCAAATGGGTTTTGGCATAAAAAGTGTAGGCAGGAGAGCAAATGGCGTAGCCAAAACATCCTGATGGGTTTTGGGGGGCTAGCAAGGGCTAAGGGCAGTACCTTCCTTTAGTGTTACTCAGACACTTACAGAAAATGTGTTGTTTCAAATGTTTTAACAAACTTAATTTTTCATCTCCCTAATGTGGTGGTGCATTTCTTTCCCCACTCTGGGCTGATTTCACGACACCTAGGTAGGAAAAAAGGGAATTAATTCAAGTGGTATGGAATACCTTTGTTATATGAGGACCTTGCAGAATAAAGTGTAGCCTTTATCGTCTCTTGGTAACATTTTTTTTCCTAATCTGTATATTTCTTAATGCGCCTGAGAAAATAAGTGCAATATTTTGTAGCTGTTTTCCCCCATGAGAAATTTGATTAAATCCTGCATATTTTTTGAGCATCACATTTCTGTTGAACTTGTTTAGGGTTCAGTGATGATGAGCCAAATCTAAATATTCCTCCTGTGCTTTTCTTTACCTGAGCTCTCCTGAGACATTGCATCACTCTCACTTTCATGATGTTTGTGTGACTTCACCAGGCTTCAACTGCAAGAAAGATGGAGGTGTGTTGTCTAGTAAATATGTCACTCAGCCCACTGAAGGTCTGATTTTGGTAGTGACAGGCTGTTAGAGCAAATCATGGCAGTCTTTGAGTGCTTATGTTCTAATTGCTCAACTGGTTTTTCACGGCCATTCAGGTGAAATCAAGGAGTATTGTTTAAGCTGTGATTTTAACTTTCTTTGTACTTTCTGGTACAAATTATAATGTGCTAAGGTGGTGTATGCCTTATTCTCCAGAAAATTAACATTTTATAGAGGGTGAGTTAGTGTGACAGCAGCTTGCAAGAAAAACAGTATTTCCATATATCTTTTCCATTGTAAATAACATTTATAGAAAGAACAGAAAGATTCCGTGCCCCAACTCCCCTTTCCATTATGGTGAAGAGTGCATGCAGAGAGTCCCATGTTCCTGATCCATGTCAGCCTTCTTTCTGGTACTTATTTTTGTGAAATAGTTTTTTTTTTTTAAACGTAAAACTTTAAAATCATTAAAAAGGATACTCAGGACTGTAAAAATAAGTTTTCTTTAATTAAAATAAAAAAAAAAAGGTTAGGGTTGTCCAGAAGTGACAGCTGTCTAGCTTGTCACTTCTACTTTAAATCTCTGCACACAGAGTTATATCTGTCAACATATGGCCCAGTAACTAGATCTTGTAAGGTCCTTCTGCCATTCTCCAGTCTCTTTAGTAACATGAAGAATTTAGTTTTATTAGTTAACTTTGTCATCTTGGGCACTTTCTTGCTACAGACTTTAGATAAATGCAATTTCCTAGATCTCCTTTGAAAGCTTAAAAAATAAATATTAAAAAAAAAATCATTTTCTTCTACTCTAGTAACAGTGAAGCATAAAGCAAGTGTTAACATACTGAAATCATTACTGCAACTATAATGTCCTTGAGCTTCTTCAGGACTCTTGGCTGAATGTCATCCGCTCTTGGTGCTTTGCTGATTTTTGAGTTGACCATTTGCTCCACACTTTTTTCTAGCAGTGTTTTGCTTTGAAACAGATCCTCTAATGCATCTTCCATAAAGAAGCCTTTCACTGGGAGAATATCTTTAAACTCCTCCATAGTGAACGTGAAGATGTGAAAAATAAATCTGGTGTTTCTAACACGACCTTTGCTTGTTTGAGCGTTTTTTTAATGCATTTATTTGTTTGCTTAGTTTAGACTTGGAGATCCTGACAGGCTACCTACTGCTCCTTGCTCCTCATGTACCTTGAAAAAGGATTTAGTTGTAGTTTTTATACTTTTTTTTCCTCACTTCCTTAAATTATTTGTGAGACTGTCTCGTAATTTTTTTTCTGTCTGTCTGTTTTTAGCTTGCTATTGTTTGAGCCCCATTTGGACAATGTCTTCAAGATTCTTTTAATGTTTTCTCTAATATGCTATTTAGTCATCTCCTACCCTTGTCTGTCATGTCATTATTCACCCCCACTCAAGTCCTCTTTGTGATTTTTATATTTGCTCTAAGCATTACATACAATGTCTTAAATCTAATTGCCTATGGACAATTCTTGATTATTCCCTTTAAGTTTCTTCCTATTTCTCTAATTCCTTTCTTTAAATTCCTTGGTGTTTGTTCCTCCTGCAGATATTTAGGTCACCACTAAATTCTGGGGGGTTTACACTAAGATTTTGAACCCAATTCGGCACAGTGCTTAGGGTCAAGAGATGCCTTTTCTTTTTTTAGTAGCATGACAACTCATTCCATGAAGCCATCACTCCTGATGTTCAGTATTTTGTCTTGGCATCCTGTGACATTTGGTGGATAACAGAAACCTCCCACTGTTTTTGTTTTTGCTTTTGTAACATTTCTGACTGCCTTCAGCTTGGTCATTCAACATCTGCATGTTTAAATGTGATGGCTCATGCATTTCTTGTTTTCACTGTCTTGAATGTGAAGAAGGTAAATGTACTCCCTTAATTAATAGATAATGTTTTTGGATAAACTTGTCTTTTTTGAATTTTTCCCCCTAAAATTTTTTTTTGAGCTGCAGATAACAATTTCATTCTAAACTTTCTTACTGGTTTCTTTTTTTTTTTTTTTGAATGCACATGCATGTCAATAACCAGTGGACCTCCAGTACTGGAGGTTTTCTTTTCTTGGTGAAGAGGATTTCTTTAATTCAGAAGACCTTTTCTTTTTACCACTTTTTGGAAAGTAGCTGAATAAAAATAGGGAAGTTATTCCACATCAGCATTTTTGCTCCCATGATTTTAGATCTGAGATGCTTGACTTACATGTGAGCATGTTTTCTTAAATACCTACTCTTGAATGTTAGCATAGGGTATGTAAGTGAAGTTGTGTAGCTTCTTATCTGTATCTTTTCTAGCAATTACTTGAAGATTGTGTTTTATCCTCTACTTTGCCTTGGAAAAATCTGGCTGAAGACAATGACTTTGCAATAATCTCGCTGGCTCTGTAAACTGAGCAGTCGGTAATTCTGTGCCTGTGTAAAACTCAAGGACACTCCTTTGTACTGGAGGAGGCTCCAGTTTGAGTTTCTGGTTTGGTAGCAGGGTAAAAATATTTTCTGAGCTCTGTAAAACTAACACACAAGATGTGGAGGTTCCTATGTTAAACAGACTGGTTTTTATTGTGGTCTTTAGAGGGGTCTTAGAAATATTAATGGCAGGCAATAGTAGGTAGAAAACTGGAGAGCAAAAAGAGGTTAGCAAAAACATGTGAAAGGTGGAACAGAGGCATGAGGTAAATAATATCTGAAATTCAAGAGATAAACCAGTGCTCAAGAGGAGGGAAAATAAAGAATAAAATAATTGACTGACTTTATTCCACCCACCCCCCCCTTTTGTTTGGTTTTTTTTTTTTTAGTCAAATGCCTTTTCTTCAAGTCATTGTGATCTAGGACTCTTCATTGTCACTGACTTGAATTTGTATGCTGTCTTAACTTTACTCCTGTTTTAGTGTCCTCAAATAATGCTGTGTGAAAACACTTGGGAATTGTGGAAGGCACTTCATTGATATCTGGTGTAGTCTCTGTAACACTTGTGGAGAAACAAGGTATAGAAGAGACCTCTGAGAGGTTTCTGTATGAATTATAACCTGGGGCAGGAGGAAGGCTGCTGTGGCAGAATAGCTGAATGCCAGTTGGAGGCTTGCTGTGGAAGAGTCTTCCTGGTTAACACTGCATATTTTTCTAAGCAGTATTGTATTTGACTTTCAAAAGGCAAGAATCTTTGGTAATTGTCTCAATTCACAATAGAAGTTTAGAAGCTAAATGCAAACAATCAAATACAGAAGGGAAAATGTCATTTAGCTTATAACTTGCTTTTTTTTCCTGTATCAATTCTTTCATCTCAGAGTTGCTAATAAATCAGCTATAGTGCAAAAGTTTTTAAAATACATAAATTGTAAACTTTTGCATCTGTATAACTTTTATTACAAAAGAAAAGGGGCTTTCCATCTCTGTAGTCAAACAATCATTCAAGTTTCAAAAGCTGTTTTTTCAACCCTCAGATGCAAGGGAAGGTTTTGTTGTTTAATTTTTTTTAATGCTCTTTTAGCATTAAACCCAACTATTATAACCGATGTACTATTAATTTTTTCCAGGTTTCGCTAAATGGTACACAGTTTACAGACAGTTCTGTTGGATCAGAGTTCACAGGTGTTTCTCAGGTATGTGCAGCCAAATTTTGGGGGTGTATATGATAGCAGAATTATTTGTTAACTGGAGAAGGTTTTACACAGTATTAAATGTACTAGAGAAAACTCTCCAAAAGGATTTCTGTTTGAGATTGGAACGTGGCTAACTGAAGTCAGTTTCTGATGATTTCACTATTCAAGCTTTAAAAAGCAGTGAAAGCTACTATTTCTAAAGTAAAATGTTATTGTTATAATCTTGAAATTGGACATGGATGTAAAAAAAAAAAAGTGCAGTTTTACGGTAACAAGTTATTCTTGGAAATAAATCTAAATACGTAGCAGAGATGCAGTTATTTCTGTTCCAGCTTGTCCTACTTCCAGCTTTCATTTATGAATGTTACATCCGAACATGTTTCAGAGAGAAAGTGAGACTGGGTGTTTTCTTGCAGAGATGCATCACACATTTTTTTGAAGCTTGACTAGTGGAAAAATATCTTGCTTTTCTCAAAATGTACACTTTGCTCTGATTACACAGAAGACACATACAGATATATATGTGACCTAATTCCAAGCTCATCTAATCCAGGAAGAGTTTATTGCTTGTGTTGAAATGGTCACATGAACAGTCACTGCATTCATCATATTTTAAATAAATAAGAAACTGCAATTCATAGCTTCATTTTAGTATGACAGAGCCATAAGGGGAATCTGAGATACTTATGGTCTAGATTTTGTCAAGGTTCTAACTGTCAATTTTGTTAGAAATAAACTGCTCAGAAATGTTCATTCTTAGCAGTTGAGTTGCATTGTGCTGTAGGAACCAAGTGCTTTCATTTGAACTTCATATTTGTTGTAAATATGGGCCCAACTGGGAGATTGTTAGCGTTTTACTGAGTCTGTGAAGTGGCCAGAATTAAGATTGTTGTTCCTGCTGTATTTGCCATTGCTTTTTTAATGATTATGATGCAACTTTAAGTAAATTACACACGCAAGTCTTAACCTCTAGAAGTATTTGCCCCATGGCTGGGATATGTTTGACACGACCTTACCTTTGCAAAAGAGTAAGTGTCAGGTTGTCTTAACTTCTGAACTTTTACGTTTTTGTCCTCTGCTTTTCCTACTTGTTGCAAGACGGACTGCAGATGATGTTCATAAGGGTTTACCTGCAATAGCTATAACGATGTCATCATTCCAACAAAGACTTAATCTGGCTTCAAAAAAGTTTTATTTTAACAAGGAAACTTTCAGGGCTAAGGAGATGAGCAGCCATGGCCTCCTGGTTGCAGGTTTTTTAGGCATTAATAAGATCTGTAGTTGAGCACAGTCAGTCAAGAGGAATGTCTAACTTGAGGAATCTGTTCATGCTTGTAGAGCCAATAAGGGGATGGTTCCTGCCTTTCAGGAGGCAGAGTGAGTCTTCTCTCCTGAGAATGTTTTCTGAAAACCTGCAGTAGATACCTGGAGAAATTGTGTTCTTTTTCTTGCCTCAGTGCTTAGGTGGGAATTCTTGAAGTGGCATCAGTGAGTAAAGAGATTAGCTGTTCTTACTAAAACTGTTAACTTAAATTTCTCATGAACTTCTGAAGGAGAAGATACTTGTGGAGATGAATTTGGTGTGTCTTTTTTGATGTCTAGAATTGTCAGTTTTTCTTTCCATGTTGCTGAGTCTGTCAGTTTTATAAATGCAAAGAACATGAAAATCAGAGTTTGTAATGCTGTGCTGTTTTTCTTCAGATGTCAGCAATAGGGAATTGATTTGTTGTTGCTGTGAAGACAAGAGAGTTAGTGAATTGTGCTATAGCTTCAACTAGTCCTTTGCCCTAAAGAACTTTTCACCTGTGCTTGTGCAGTTCAGCCCTACAGGATCTTTAAAGTAGTATTTTTGTTGGTATTGGGGTTGGAGCAGTATCTAGAGGAATGGTTCAATAACTTATTTAAGTTTTGCCTTTTCCTTTGAGAAAGAGTTTCACTATTTTGAGGCTTACATAGATCTTGCTAATTAAGGCAGAGCTAGTAGCCATAATATAAATGGACAAATCTGATTCCGCCATTACAAGATGTTTTGTTCTATTCATTAATAACTTCGCTTATGTTTTATAAAGTTGGGTTCTGTTTCACTTGTTCTGCTTGACATGTTTTTGAGTATCAGTCTTGGTGAATAATCAGCATCTCATGGTGGAACCATAACTTCATGCACAGGAGTATCTTTGAAGAGAAACTAAGTTTTGAACTGCCTCTGTCCTCCTAAGTTACCAAGTCTACTTTATTCAATAGCTGACAGTGGATTTTAAGACCCAACTGACTGTGTTTGTTAAAACTGAATTAAGCTTTTATTTTGTAACAAGCTTAACTGAAAGTATCTTTGTTTTAGTCGGTATTGAAAGAGGAGGTGATGCAGAACTTCAAAGAGCAGTTATTTTCCTTTTATCTCTAAGAATGACAACAGTAAAAGGAATTGTACTATCCCTTTTTTATTTTACTTTCTAGATTATTGCATCTAGGCCAAATTATTTTAGAGAGGAAGGCTGTAGTCCATGCTCACTAAAAACATTACTTTTTAAACGGGAGTGTATTCATAATCAAAATTGTTTGCCACATGGTTATTAACACTGCTGTGTTTGATCTTGGGACACTCCAAATATTCACCATTTAATGATGACTGTTTAAAATATGTTTTGGGTTGTTTTTCAATCTCAGAATAAGTTTTTCTGGTATGTATTCTGTGACTAACCAATTATCTATCAAAACATTTATTTCTAGACACCATTTACCTTTGGCTTGGGCCAAAGGGCACCATATACAACTGGCGAGCATTGTCTTCTTTGTAGAAGTGAACGAAAAGATACTTCGCTTTCAGAGAGCGGAATAAAAAATTCTAGCAAAACAGCACTTTCCACATCTCCAAAAGCAAACAATATGCTGCATCTTCCACTGTGGGTGTGTCCAGACTGTCGACGAACAGTCGAAAAGGAGGAAAGGCATGCTACAATAGAGCAATCTCTTGTGGTAAGTTGAAGTACTTCAGTTCAGTAGACTAAGAAGATACGTTGTTATGATGGGCTGAATGCTACTTAGTGCTTTGGAACCACTTAAGCTGTAAATGCTTAGAAAATATTTTAGGAGATTTTGAGTTGGTTTTCCTATGAGCTAAGCTGAACAGGCAAGTTGTTCCAAAAATTCCAGGAATTCTGATTCTGAGTTTTAGATTTTTGAGTAGAGCAAGGCTTGGATTTGTTTCTTGCTGGTTTTTTACCCTTTCAGTTTATTTGATCTCATACGTTGTCCTTTTCCCCTTTACTTAAAATTCTGTTTCTTCTACTCGTACCAATGCAACTTTAATCATTATACTTTTTTCTAGTCTCTGTCTGCTCATGTGTACTTCCCCCCGCTTTGTGAGATAAACTGTCTGAATTTTCCTTGTTCTTTCAGTGGTGTTCCTGAGTCACTGTACTTGCACTGCCACCTTCCTGCATGTGTCTGAGCTTTATCATCTTTTCTTTCCTGTATTTTCTTAATAAAGAAGCACAACTCTACATAGTATGCACGTAGCAATTTCTTATTCTTTGTTGTCGCACTGCAAACACTGATTTAATACATGGTGCTAATATTTCAAGTTGTGATTTTTCTAAATTAGGTGTTAAAATATATTTTCAAATGAGAATTCAACCTCACTTAAGAGCTGTGCTCAGTGTAGCAGAAAGATACAAAAAGTTCATTGACAGGTCCAGCAAAACCCCATTAGAAGTAAAATGTGATGCTATACTGCAGAACCAAATCTTCACAACTCATCTGGGAAGCCACACACTTCCAATAATTGGAAGCATCATAGATTCCAGCTGACATCTTCTTGTAGAGAGCTAACAGACTGTGCACATGCCCATAGGCACATACAGATTTTTATTTCAGTAAACAAATCAGTGTGAAGAAAGATTGTCTTTGTGTAGCATATGTTGTTAAACTTATGTTAAAAGCACATTTAACATAGTTTTTTAAGAGTATATCACTTGTATACAACTAGTGTTTACTGATATTCTTGCTATTAACAACGGTTAGTAAAATTAGTCAAAAAAGATTACGTGTAAGGAAATTATACTGGTAGTCTGATGGTAAACACATCCTAGATAGTTCAAAGCACAGCAAGACTGAAGCACATTATTATTCAGTTGAGTAAAAATTTTTGACATATTTAAGCTCTGTTTAATGAACTAGTAAAGAAAATTAAGTGTCCTACAAGTGCAAGGAAGGGAGGATTTGCTTCCTAAATGTTTTGTAAGTCGCAGATACTCCAGGTAAAATAAAAATTGAGAGTATTTTTTTTTTTTAATTTGGCAACTGTTTTCTTAGTTAGAGGAATTTTTAAAAGCAAACAGCAAAAGGATTTCCCAAGTTGGGAAGCTTGACTTAGAATAGCTACTAAATGGATTAGGTGGCTAGTCAAATTAGAGAAACCAGCTGGGGAAAAAAACCAAAATGAGTTAAAAAAAAAAAATCTGTTATCAGTCACTGCAAGCCAGAGTATAAGTGGTTTGCTATAGATGCTCCTGTATTCAGGTTGCTGTTGCTCTCGTTGCTACCTTTGTTTGCCCCAGCACCATCCCCCATAGCTGGTCTTGCTGTTGGCAGCAAATGCACGCAGGTTTGTTTTGACCTGTGTCTGCTTCCTGCTCCAGAATCTGGGGTGAAGCACAAAAAAAAGCCCTTCAGTCATGTTACTGACATGGGAGAGATCTCTGGTGCCACAGAAAGGTGGTGGCAACCTGGGGAGGGTGCAGGAAGGAAGCATGGTGTGTACTGGTGCTGGAGCACAGAGAAGGAAGAGAAACTGGAGACCAGAATACCAGCAGCCTTGGGAGAGAGGTTTGCGTCATCTGCTAGTACTGAGCAGCACTGTACACAGGAGACAGCATCCATTCCCAATGACAGCAGCTTTCTAACATCCATTAGTATGAAGTAGTATGTCTGGCTTTATAAACAAGGAGATTTTATGCTTTTTGCTAGAAGGGATTGTTGAACTTCAGAAGTCAAACATATTGTCAAATAGAGACTGAAGAGATTTACTAGTTTATGATTAATCATGGATGATGCAAGCCTTCCTTTAGCTTAGTTCATTGTTTATGCTGGAGTACATGAAGGTGGTAATTGTAACCAACATGCTTTGGTTATTAGAAATGAAACTATATTTATATCATTGGTTTTCTCAGTCCGTATCTTGCGTTTATTATGCTTTTGGAAGGTAAATTCTTTGTGCCTGGTTCAGTGTCCTACCAAAACACATTCAGCACTAAGAATTGCTGCATTACTATTTGCCTACTTATTAACATTTCAGACTTCTACCTTACAAACTGAAGGCTACCTGTGTTTTTTCTTTTCAGAGCCAAGATTTCCTTTTGCACATGCCTCTTGGAAACAGTGGATCACAGCAGGAATCTGTAGGAGGAGGAAGAATAACTGTTGCTGCACAGACGGTGCCTGCTGCAGATCTTAGCAATTCCTCACCTTCAGACATAGCATGCAACTGTGAGGCCTGTAATGAGCGCAGGTAAGAACTGAATTCAAACTCAACAGCATGGTGCCCATAGTCAGACTGTCGGCAGTGTTGTAGCTTATTTGTTGGTGTATGCTTAAACTCTTTAAACAGGCTATCTGACAAGAACAGTAACTTATGGGTGGCAGGTTTTTTCCAATTTTATACTTTATTTTAGGCATGTACTTTATTTTAAGCATTTTCAGATGTACGTTGTTTTTCCTGAAGGACATCTTCAGAACAGTAGGAATCAGTACACCTATGCGATGTACAAATAGAGAGTCATTATTTTTGTCATTATTTGCAGAGAAAATTCAGCAGAGCCTGAACGTGAACCTCAGCAGCTTCAAAATTACTGGTCAGAAGTAAGATACATGGTTCGGTGTATATATCGCCAAGCTGGGACCCCTTTGGCAGATGACCAAGACCAATCTTTGGTACCAGATAAAGAAGGAATGAAAGAGCTGGTGGATAGGTACAGCATTTTGAAAAATATCTATTAATTGCTAAGAGGATTTTTAAAGTTAGTTTTTAAGTAGTTTGGCGTATTGCTTTTTAATAGAATGTTATTTACCATCTGTAAGTCTGGTTGCTTGGAATGATTGCCTCTCCACTACAATGAAAGATTCAGACCGGTCAATTCCATTTCATGCAGGATTTTTAAATGCTAGGTTGAATGCATGGGAAGCTATTAAATTAATATGCTGTTTGCAATAGGAATATTAATGTATAATTCTGGAAGGGTCCCAAAATCGTACTCTTCAAAAGACCTTGAGATGATCATTATTAATAAGACACTGTTTAGTTTGAATTGCCCCACATGAAAATCTTACCTTGTTGAACGAACCCAAGTTATAATAGTGCTTACATCTTACTGTAGTTGTAGCAGCTAGAAGAGACTTTTTAAAAAAAAAAAAAAAGTAATATTGGCTATTGATCACTAGATGAGGCAGATTCCAAGAACTTCTTTCTCATTTCAGAAGTTGAAATTGTAGCTTTTCTAGGTGTGAAGTTAAAGATGTGCTTAATGAGATCCTAAGTTGTGGGTTTTTTCCTTTGGAGAATAGTGTGGCTGTCCTTAAAGTGCTCCGGGAGGTTCATCTCAGTTTCTGTCTTGAGTATGTGGTCAAGGAATAGTTGCTCTCCTTGGTTCTGTACATACTTGATATACTAAGGCCTGACTAGTCTGACAAATTGTAGTTCTTTTGTGGAGTTTCTAGTTGAAGCTAAATTCTAGCAAGGTAAGGAAACTTGAGAGATCGTAGTCATCTAGCATTGCTCTTTACATAACTATACTACTGAATCAGCCTTAATAGATAATTAAATAAGCTTATTGCACTCCTGTTATGTAAAAACTGAGTGTTTGGTTTTGAACATGAGTTGTGTAAATGTAGACTAATATGGTATGTCTCCCTATTAGTCACAGTTTGTTTAAGTAATCAAAACATGCAACATAGGTTTTGAAATCAAAGATGCTTAAATGTTGCATAGTGTGTAGGTAATTAAAAGTGAATCACAGCTAAAATGGTGGTTGATTTTTATGCAGTTTCTCTTCAATGGAAAAATTTTGGAAATTGGAACAAATACTGTGTACCTTTCTTATGTACTTATGAGCTTTGATTTCTCTAGAACTGTTTTTCACTTTTGAGAGAGATTGTTAAAATACAAAGGCAAAAACAGTATCTCAAAGAAGGAAACCTTAAATGTCAATATGATTATTTTTCAGTCGAGTTCCTTATGGTCTCCAAAGTGTGAAATAAAACTAGGATATTGTGTTTGAGCAGACACCAGTGTGTCCAGTCCATGATGCTAATGTCATGCAAAATTTTGTAACAAAGCTAGTCAATGTAGGTATTGAAAGTGTAAAACCAAAACAAACAAAGCCAAACAAACTAAAAAACCCCAAACAAACCATGTAGGTAGCATGCCAAAGATCATGCTGTGGCCAAGTAAATCTATGTTTAAAAGGCAGAAATTCCTGATTCCATGCTCAGCTCTGTTAGACACAGCTGGCAAGAAACAGACTGTCTGGTGGTCTTGCTTGAAAATAAGTAGTGGTGCCAGGTACTGTCCCTATTGTACGTTGGGGGACTTTATGGCAAAGTGATAATACTCTATTTTGTGAGTGATGAGGGAAGAGCAGGTAGTAGACAGCAGCACACTTATACATCTAACTCTTAAGTACTTCTCTAATCCCTTTCTTCTTCCCTACCTCCCTGTGCTGTAAAAAACCTGAGGCAAGTGCTTAAACTCCATGCACAGGACTTTAAATAGTACAATTTCAGTCTAAAGTGCTTCAAAGCAGCCATCGTGTTCAGTTTTTTTCTGTGTGAGGTGGTTCAAACCCATGTCTCGCTTCCAGGAGAGTATCAGACCTAGCCAGCTGTATGCTGTCCTTAGCAGGAAGCCCTGACCCTCTTTGAAGCTGTGTGTTACAGTGACAAGTCTTGCAGGTATAGAGTGGCTGAATAGAGTGCATGGAGGGCAACATGGTTCTGGAGCTTCAGTGTTAGTATGCTAACACTGCATACTAACAGATGAGTCCCACATTCTGATGCCTATTCTGGGGTAAAAAACCAACGAACCAAACAAAGAAAAAACCCAAAAAAACCCCACCAGTCACTTGTAATGATTGCAGTTAGGTGCTACCACAGTAGAGTGCCCTAAGTCATGTTCCTTGAAGGATGTTCTCTGTGGCCCTGTGAATCCCACAGCTCTGCTATGCAGTGGGCACAGCTTTAATAAAAGGTGCAAAAAATGTTCTTGTACAGAAGATCCACAACTTGGGGTAAGAAACTCTCAATGAAGGCAAGACGAGTTTCATGGCTGAGTGTCGTAAAAGCTTGGTAATTGTATGAAAAGCCTTCTTTCAGTTCAGCTCAACAACAGAAGGGTCCCCCAAAGCAGTCACGAAGTCCAGTCTGGTTGGTATGTGTTTAGGTATGTTCTGGCTGCCTTAACAGGTCAAGCTCCTTCAATGGCTTGAAGTAAATGCCTGTTCTACAGGATATTAATCAGGCCTAGGTCTGGCTGTTCCAACTGGGACACTTATTAGATCTGTATGTAAGAACATGGAGAAGTTGTGAAGAAGCTTGTCTGAAGAGTATGTCTGTAGGGTTGTATGCAAATTGAGTAAAGGTTTTTTAGCTCACAAGTTGAAGTGCAATACCGAGGTCCTAAATTAATTTGTTCCTCAGGTGTGCAAGCATCCTAGTCCTAAAGCTGCACAGGAGCTCAGTTCCACAGTGTAAAAGTAGGGAACTGGGCTGCGTTCTCCCAGATTTGAGGTAGTTCTGTAAACCCTAGCCATTATTTCTTTTTGATGATGATGATGGTAACTGGTAAATATTTTTAGGAAAGTGAAAATTGTTTACTACATGCATTATTTCTTTTTGTCAAAAATATTCTAAAAATACAGGCTTTGTGAAAGAGATCCATATCAGCTTTACCAACGGTTGGAACAGCAAGCTAGAGAATATGTGCTTGAAATGAAGGTTCGTCTGCTCAGACACTTGTCACTGGGATCTAAAGTTGCATCAACATTAGCAATACAAGGGCCACCACAGGCACATCAGTTCATCTCACTCCTACTTGAGGAATACAGTGCACTCTGTCAGGCAGCATGTACAATCAGCGCCTTTCTAGTTACTCTGGTAAGACTGAAAAAATAACCTATATGCTTCTACTTCCTAGGGGCAATGCTAGCAGAGCTGTTCTGGGCTCTTTCAGGTATCTTCTGTAGTTTGTAAGATGTAAGGTTTTTTGTGTATGCATGCTTGGAGACGGGGAGATTCTGCAAACGCAAATTTAATTCTTCAGAAATGTAGATTAGGCATCTCTTACTGTGAATTGATGAAATTATCTTTTGTTTGTGAAGAAAAAGGCAGGATGCTGTTTGTGGCACTTATTCTGAAACTAATCTTTAAGCAGATCTACAAAATTTTAGATAATGCCTTTGAAAATGTGAAGCACTTCTCTGTTAATCTTTAATGGTCTCTTGACAACCATGTTTAAAGGACACAAACTCTCAGGTGGAGCACTAACTTAGATTGTTTCAATGTTCAATTATTCTTTTCCCTTATAAGCAAGAATGGCTACTTGAAAAGATGATCTCCTTACTCAGAATTAATCTGCTATGTTATTATTTCTAAAGTTCTTGTTCTTTCTTAAATGCTTGTTTTGTCAACTGATTGTGATGTTAGACTTGGGATTATATTGTCAGGTAGAAAATAAGCAATAGCCTTAATCTCTTCTTGAGTAACTGTCCATCATGACTGACTAATACGGTAAATAAACTCTGTAATTATACTTGTTTAAGGGCTGAGAAGGTTATTAATCTTGTTTTGTTAATAGTTCTTTCATGTATATCCCTTGTTAATGTCCTTATCCTGTACATCCCTTTTCTTGTGTAAACTTTGCGCAAGCAAAAAAACCCAAGAAGTGGATAAACTGGTAAATTTGGGGTTTATTGCCTATTAGCTGAAAGTGACTGTCTAGGTATATAAAGAGAGGAAAAGAATAGGCAGTAACAAGACTATGGTGGCCACAGGGGAGAAGGATATAAAATGGAGGGGAAGCAGAGTGTCATTACTGAGGTAGGACTGTTAGTAAAATTGAATTGGTAAAGCAGGAAGATGTTTCTATTAAGAAACTTGAACATATCTGATGCTTTCTTCTGTTGTCAGTGCTCTGTATTTGCTATTGTCTGTATTGTCTTCCCCAGCTTTATCACTTAGATACAGGTGTGAGGTCACTGCTGTCTCCTGTTTATTGGCTGCTTTTAATAGTCATTAAGTCTCTAACAAGGTGCTTGAGGGAACATCGCTCTTCAGGTTGATTTGCATTGGAATTTAGAAATTTGTTCAGCTGAAAAGCAGATGGATTACAGTACAAATGTTAGTTTTCTCAAAGTAGATCTGCCAATAATGAACATGTTAGTACCAGAAAATAATATTGTTATATTTTTTTCCCCTGGTTATTATTGTGAACTAGTAGTCATGAAAACTTAGCAGGTATGAGATATTGAGATAATGGCCGTGAAGAGACAGAACATGCTTGAACTCCCTAATCTACCCCTTCTGACAAAATTCAAAGTAAAATAAAATTCCTATTCTCTTAAAACATAAGGCATAAGAAAAAACAAAGTATCCCAGATTTTTCTTGTCCTTTTCCTTCTGTAGCCCAGTAAGTACTGAAAACTTCTTTCTACTAAGCTGTGACATTCAGAAACTGAAATCTGAGAATGTAGGATACTGTCTCTTGTCATATATTTCTTAGATTTATTAAATAACCTTTCTATTAAATGGAGTAGTATGTCACAGCTTTCAGTACAGGTAGCAGAGTCACTAGTCTTTTCGGTGTGCATGGTTGGTTTTTCTCAAGATACCAGTGCACTATGGAAGAAGGAAACTTTCCAGCTGAAATATGTAAAAGGCAGTCAAGATCTCTAAACTCAGAGCAGCCTTCCTTTTAAAGGTAAAACCTTTGCATGTAGCATGCTGTAAAAAGGCATATAATGCCTTGAACCTCCACCTGTGAGGAGCTAATTTCTCATTGAAATTATGAACAGTTATCTTTCCTTTCAAAGGAATCCAGCTAACTAGTGAAGTTCAAGAGCAGGAACTAAAGCCTTGTGCCCCACCAGGGAATGACAGATTATACTGAGAGCAAAAGAAAGACTGTGGTCAGTACAGAAGAGCCCTCAAGTACACAGTCTAGCAGACTAGAAAGGAAAACTCACCTGGTATTTCTTTGTGAGAAATATCGTACTCTGCACAATCTGATATAACAAATTTTGTAGATAACTATTGACTCTTTTGTTCACAGAATAATATGGAAATTACTTAGGAAATCAACCTTTCTCAGTGTTGACCCTTGAGAAATTATTAGCAATTTATAGAAATTTTAAATATTTTGAAGACATAATATTCAAAGTGAAAGGGTACATGTGTCTTGTGCAACTCGGGCCGGGGTTTGGGGGGCGAAGAACAAACACCACCCACCCTTCTTAAATAATAATAAAACTCCAAACGATTCTTTTTTTGAATACTGATAGTCTCATGTTTAGGTCTGATGTAAATATGTATTTGTTTTTTAACCCACTATGCTTAACAAAACTTTGAAATTCCAGAGTATTCTGGTATTTCTGGGTACTTGAGGTTATAGTGCATAGGGCTTGCTTGCTGATCTAATAGCCAGAATGCTTGCATTTAATTTTGCTGTGTGGGGGAATCCTGCTATAGAAAACCAGCATACTGCTGGCTGTCTGTGGGAAAACTTACTGACTTGAAAAAATAGTATAGTTGTCTTTGATTCTTATGTTTTGATAATAATAGATTTAAGTTTTAGGCCTTGAAATTACATACAATTGTGTGTTAACCTCAAATAGAAAAATATTCTGCTTACTAGAGAAGTAAGCTGTTGGTCTCTTGTCTATTTAGAAAACTTCATTTTTTGAAGCTGTACTTGAAGAGAACTGTTTGCTTGATTTATGTCAGTTTTGAATAAAGATTATAGGTTGCCATCATATATGTGCCTGTTACTAGATAAGTTCAAAGAACTGAAAAATAATCAGAGATAGGCAGTTGTTTCACAAGAAAACCTTGAGCGCAACTGGTTCAGGTCGTAAAATACATCTTTCAGTGCAGAAATGAATGGAAGCATTCAACAGCATAGTCTGATTTTTCTTTTTTTCTTTTTTTTTTCCTTCCTAATCCATGACAACTTAGAAAAACAAGGAATGAAGCTATGGTTATTTAAGTCATTAAAGAATTAGTTACAGTCTGAGTTTCTGGATATTAAAACTGAATAAGATATGAGCTGAATAAACGAGCCTGTAGGTTGGAAATTAGATTTTCAAAAAAATTTTTGCCTTGGACAGAAATTCCACCCCCACTCCCCTCACCCCCCAGCCCCTAACCCTGCCTTATTTCTGGTTGTTGTTTTTGTTACAGGAAAATGAACATTTGAAGAAATTTCAGGTGACGTGGGAATTGCACAATAAGCATCTGTTTGAAAATTTGGTATTTTCTGAGCCACTCTTGCAGAATAGCTTGCCAACGTTGGTGTCACAGCTAAGGTAGAGTTTAAATTTTCTTTTGTAATTTAAAGGAGAAATGAAAACCCATGTTTGCAACCACAGCGTTTAAAAAAAAAAAAACCACAACAAAAAAACCTGTCTGCTGCTTCTACAATTTCATAGGTAAAAATCCTTGTTGATCTGTCTTGAAAACAGTATTGTTGATTGAGCAGGCTGCTGTCATAACTTGCTTGTCAGAAGAATTACTACCCTAATCTGCTTGCTTGTAAGTTACCTAGTAAAATGACAGCATCTTATGAAAATGCTGATGGTATGACTGAATAGTACTGTTTTCACTTGTCATTAGGTGTTGCTACTGTCTTTACAGCTCTACAACTGAATTACAGCCTCAATACCTTCATGCTTCCCACAGTGCACAAATAGCTTAATTTGGCATTTTAAGCAGTCTTTTCACTGGCAAAAGCAAAAGAAACAAACCCCCTTGCTATATGCTTGTAGGTCTGATGGCATATTGTGTTTCCTGGGGCTTTAGAATGTATATTTTGTTGGCAAGGCTGCTCTGCTTGTGATTTGTGTACCTGCAAAGTGTTTGGGTTTTTTAGGGAAGAAGTATTAATTCACAGAAATTCTATTCTTTTTCCTATGTCCAAACATTTCTGAAGTACAGTCATGGATGGTTCGTGTTGACCTCTCAATCTAGTTTCTGATGAAGAGACGTTTATGCTCTGTGTACATGTTTTTTAAAGGTATTGTCTTGGGTATTTTTTCATGATACAAGAGCAGTTTGATTAAGTCTGTCACAAGATACATTGCTCACGGTGAATAAAGAAATTTCTGATGAGTTGTCCTTTTGCTAGTAGATACTAGAAAGGAAAGTAAGAAAAGGGAAGAAAGCTTAATTGTCACCAGGCTCAGCAAGAAGTCCAAGGTCTCTCAGAATAACTTGTCTAATTGGTTTACATGAAACTGGGTTGGTACTGAAAGCCTTTTTTTTTTTTTTTTTTTTTTTTTTTTCCTCTCCAGACAGGTAATTCTGTTCCTATGTTCAATAGCATGTTGTGCAGTCACATAGTTTTCCAGTGATCCGTGTTTGACTTCCCAGTACCACTGATACTGTATCCCTTGGTCATCTCCATGCTTTCTGACAAGGCTTCTCTGCATCTCTTCCTCCACCAGTCCTGGTTATATGAAGACTGTTTACATTGCCTTCATCTGCAGAGCTGAGAATGGTCTTAGTGAAGCTTATGGTCATTTCTTAACAAAAGCATTGGATTGTTTTCATTTACCTGTTGTTCTCAAGTGCTACTGCAATTAAAGTCTGAGCAACAGAAGGTGTTTCTCTGCAGAACTTCATTGTAGTGACAGCTAAGTTCAAGGCTTGAATACGATGAAGTCAGAATCTCTTCCTGCAGGAATTTCTTTTCCAGTACATCTGTGCTCGCTAGATGGCTTTAAGGGTGTTTCACAAAAACTATGGTTTTGCCTAGATTGATTCACATGAGCTTTTTTTGAAAGGAGAGGTTCAGCACAAGCTTCCTCTTCCATGGTTTCTAGTTTATATAGTGTATGTCTTGTTTTTCTTTGGTAAACATAGATTATGCCTGTTTTCATGGACTCCCAGGATTTTACTGCTGAGTTCTTTAGGTCTTGAAGTAAGAGAATTATGTAGCCTTCCCTGAGAAAATTTTCTGGAGGATAATCTGCCTTACAGTGGGAGTTGGTGGAGGAATGTTCCAATCAGAGAAGCCTCACATGGAGAAGCAAGGATGAGCCTAGTCCTCTGATCATTTGGTCAGGAGAGAATCATTTATTTGCATGCATTGGAGAAGGTGTTGCCAGTCTCTTTACAAAAGAGCATTGGCCTCATTGTTTTCTCTTCCTGAAGAAGAAATGTGAAATGGCATCTTGGCATCTCAGCTTCACTTAGATTTTGGGAGTTCACCCTTATTTCAATCACTAAATCTTTTTTATATCTCTGGATTTTTCAAAATACATAGTTGGTGTGTTGTGATTCGTTCCACGGATGCTTATCAGATGTCAGACTAGAAAAGATGTTCACTTAGAGAGGTTTAAATGTAGCAGTCTTGTGGGGTTGAAGTTTACTAGCTGATACAAGATAAACTGTGTCAGTATTTCACAGGACTGGTCATCTACTCAGGGTAAACTACCAGGGTCTTAATGTATTGCATCTTGTTCTGCTACCTAGTCAACACCTCTGGTTTGTCTAGGAGGCACACTCAGTTGTACGATTGGCAGACTAGCTGTAAGAGCTGTCCATATGCTTATCAAGAGCTAATTAATCAGCAGGGCTTCTAGATCAGACACAGCATTTCATAAGGCTGTATCTTCAGTATTTAAGGAAATCCAGTCCTTTCATGGGTGAGTGAGTAGTACTTCCTGATGAAGGTTGTCTATATTAAAGGTTTCTTAGAGGTTAAATACCTTTCTTGGGTTTAGATGCTTTTGATTACATGCAACCACTGATATGCCTCCTACATTCAACGGGCTGCTTTATTGGTGTTTGGTAATGAAGTAACAACTGATACTTGGGGCTTTTCTGTCCTGGAGTTTTCTGTCCTCTTTGCTTTCCCTGTATGGGATGGGACAATGTTCAGGGTGTATGTACAGCTTCAGTTAAATGCTGCTGGACAAAAAATTCTGGGTTCCTGATCAAGATACACGGGCATACAGTAGGATTTATGTCAACAGGTATGCCTTGGAAGATTCAGTTACCGTAAAGTAAGCAATTCTTGTTAAATTTTATGTATGTGTGACGTTTTTATTACCTTATTTTGCTGCAGTCCAGGAATATATTCCACCTCTGTTTACAGGACTGAAATACTACCTAGATTGTTGCTTTATACTTGCTTTGAGGGGGTGAAAGTGTATTTACTAGTAACATGTTAACCTCTAATCAAGAGTCACAATAAAAACTGAAAGTGTAAATGCTGTTGCATTGGTAATCTAAATTTTTAAAAATGAAGTTCTTTCGCTTCTAGCTTGAGAACATATTTAAAAAAGATTTTATGCACAACTACTGTTTGAAAGAATAGTACTATTCAGCAGCAGTTAGGAGAACAGATTCTTGACTTACGTACAGTAGGGATCAGAATTTCACGTAACTGCATAATACCAGAAACACAAGGTTCAAGAAGAGTAGTGAATTGTGATCTAGTAACAGGAATTGACAGTGTCTGCACTGATAGTGAGGAAGTGTTGTATCCTAAAGTCACCGTATCCCTTTAAACTGCTTTTTGTACTCTACCAAGTAGAATGTGTATAATTGCTTACGCACCCTTCTAAAATGGTTGTGTTGCAGGTTCCAGGCAAAAACAACAAAATAAAACAAACTTGAATTTATTGGCAAAGTCATGCTAACAGCTATGACTTAATGCTTACTGAGTTATCTGTTTGCTCAGCTCTTCATTATACTTAATTGCCACATGAAAATTAAGGGCTCAGTTCTTTGCCAGGTGATGGGTAGGACTATGTAGTTCTTGGGTTGTGTTAGCATCCTGTTGCAATGGAAATCTCTAACAAACCTCCCTGAAATGCTGGAACTGGGCTTAAATATCAAGTTTTGAGGTGCTTGAATTTTGTTTTTTGGCACTGGCTTTGACTTGCCACACAACCTCTGTGCCTAATTAACTACCAACCAGTTTCCCCTTAATTACTGAGTAGGAGAAATGTTGAAAAGCTTCAGTTTGTGTCGATTTACAGGTCACTACAATTCAGTGTGCTTTAAACACACATTATTGAATAGAATTTTGTCTTTTTATTTATTTCTGAAGTCAAGATTTTGGGAGTTTGCTTATTTACTTAAGAATTGTTGTGATGATGCAGTGTCATAGATTTTTTTTTTTAAAGGAATTTGCTGTACAAAAATGTAGTAGTAGAAAGGGAGGTAAATTGTCTCCTGTTTCTGGGGCTCCTTACAGAGGCAGTCATCAGTGTATGGCATAACCACGTTTTGGACTTGATGCTGCTCAAGTGATAGTACATAACTGCATGCAACCAAATTATCTCACTTGCCTCATCCTACAGCACTTTTCCCAGCTGGAACTCCAACTTGTCTAGTAATCTTTTTAGCATTGATCATGAGAGTTCTGATTAACAAGCTTCTGGCTTTATTTTTACTATATATCTCTTCAGTAAATAGTCAACATGTATATTTAGTCCATAGAATTTGGAAGGATAAATATATCAAGCAACAAAATTTGAATAAATATGGCTCAGTAGGTTTGACATCTGGTTGCTCGTGGGAAAGAGGCTCTAGAAATGTTGCACTTCCCACATTCTTGCTATTGTTGGTTACAGAACATTGGAACAAGCAGTTGTTGGATATTTTTTTGAAAAATGACTAAAAATACTAAACTTTGGGATACAAGCAGCTATGTGGGCCTAGGTGTATCAATAACTGCACTTTAACAACGCTTTTTTGGCTGGCAGAACTTAAGTGTGATTTTTTTTTTTTTTCTTTTTTTTTCTCCAGTGAAATGTCTCTTCTATAACAAGTGCTATTTGAATTTTTAGGCTTGGAACAACACATGATTCCTGTAGTGAAGATATGTATAGTACCTTGCTACAAAGGTATCATCAGCTGGAACAGGAAATGGGTCAAGTTGCTGAAGCATGGCTTGAATGCCAGAAAAGAATAGATGACTATGTTGATGAACAGGTAAGAATCATGTAAACAGTCTCAAGACTGATTATGTAGGGAGCAGCCCATGCAAGACTGTGCCTCCAGTGAAGACTTTCTTTGGTATTTTCATCCAGAGCTTTGAAGCAACAAAAAGTAACTTTTTTCATTGATGTCAGTCTTTCAGAACAGAAAAGAACACTAACATACAAATATGTAATGGCAATTGTACAGAAACGTCTTCAAATTATTGAAGCAGATTGTTGTGCCATTCATTGTTTAGAGGTGGTCTTTGCACATTTTTTAATTACTTTAGCCTGTAAATTACCCATAGCACAGTAACCTGAAACTTCCATTTGTAGATGTCACTAGGAAAAAGAAAAAAAGAAAAAACCCACCCCATAAAACCCACTAAGTTTCTAAAATAATAATTGCACTAAATGAAATTAAAAACTGTTGCATGTTGCATAATGTGATGACCTTTGTGCAGCTGTCAAAATCAGAACTCCAGACTCTCACTATAGAAATATTTGAGACCTCTAAAGTTATCCTTTTTTTTTATTAAGTATATGTTCTGATAGCTGATTCTTCTGAGGTTGTTCTACATTTCAGAAAATAATCACTTTGCTGTACTGACTTCTACATTGTCAAGAGCTTAATTTTCAGAAAAATAACTGTTTATTTTGCAAGTGGTTGTTTATACTTTCCCAAAATTGCTCGTGTGCTTTTTCTCATGTTTAAAGAACTTGAATTTTTTTAAAACAGCTCAGGATAAGGCTTTGGATACTGTTTAGTTCAATCTTAAGTATACTACAAGAAAGAATGTGTCTTGAAATAACTGAAGATACAGAATTTTATAGAACTTTTCTTGTATTTTGAAGTTTTATGAGCATTAGGAATATGGAGATCCAATTTGAGATTTAGTAATGCTATGTTATTCCTATGGATAACAAACATTTTGAAGTCTTACAGTACACTAACTGTCCTTCAGAAGCTGTTCCCTGTGATGAAGATTTAAGTGAACTTTACCATTAATTCCAATACTTTCAAGATGGAGACAGGACATAACTGATTTTATTTTTAGAGATTGTTCTATATTTGGGGGTTGTATCTGTAAGCTATCAGTTACAAAGTTTTCTCTTGGTCTGGCTGCTTTTATGCAACTAAATATTTGATTGCAGCTCAGTAAAATTTCATCATCTCACATTTTGTGCTACTAGAAGTCATTTTCCTCATGGTGTCAGGGTATTGTGGCTGTCTGATACTGCCTCCCCAGTAAGAAACAGAGCCCAATTCACTTCTCATTATTCACTTACTTTTCCTAAAGATGGAATTTCTGTGGAGTCACATTCATATCAGACTTCTGACTGGTTGGTCTGCACCACTTCAATATCAACTCTTAACTGATTTTCCTGTATTTCTCTGTATCTAGTGACCATGCTATTGCCACAAGTACTGTGTTACAGCATTTTTTTTATCTGCCTAGTGAAGCCTGTATCCTGATGCAAACAGAAACCCTTCTCCCATTTGGGGAAACTTAATATGATGACTTCTTATTTCCTAATGACCAAGAAAACCTCCAAGGCGTGTGTGTAGGGGAAACCATTCTAAAACTTAAATGATCAAATTTTAAAGGAGATATTGGTATTTATATGTAGAAAGAACATTTTCACAATTGTGCCTTAAAACCCATGTTGGTGATAACCTGTGGTTATACTCTTTTGATCAAAAATACATCATTCAGTATGACCATCTTACCTGAATTTGCAGTGATATTTTTGTCAACAAGGTAGAAATCAGAAAGCCTGGCTACTATGGAAACTGTGGATCTTAACAGTGAATGCATGTTCATTATTTGCTGCCTCTTGGCTTATCAAAATTGTGAGGTTTTATTGCTAGTATATCAAAGATTAGAATGCAGACCATCACAGAGGACTTATGAATGGTCCTTGTTTATCTACTGTGGAACTATGTGCAAAATTTTAGACAGGGCATCAGCAGAGGTAATTAATGGACCCTCCCACTATGTTATGTTATGTTACTTGTTCTTGGGGAAAAAAGTGAATAGCTTTTGCAAGCAATAGAAATATACTTTATTTTTTTCTTTAAGGCTGTGTAGGACAGCTGTGTCATGCACAGACATGTAACTTAATACCACGTGTGTATGCTGTAATAAAACTTAGAATAAGGATCCGTTCATATCAGCACTGATATCACATGTTAAAATCTGAGGAAGATGTTTAGGGTATCTGGAAAACAGGACAGCTTAAATTTGATAAGAAAAACAGGATCTGGAGGTACAGGCTGCATAGATTTAGACTACTTTTAACTCAGGGGTTCCTAAATATATCTGGATCTTTTCCATAAGTAATGGCTAGATAGTCATATGTACTTTGTGTGAAAGTGTTACCTTTTTTTTTACTGCTGGCTCCCACAGAAGAAAGGAATAAAGGAATGCCTTTGCCCAGCTCCACAAGAGCCCAGGGAGAGCTTCTTGCTTGTCTTTCCATATTCGTGTGTGACTTTTTTTTTTTTTTTTCTTTTACAGTTCTGGTCAACTTAATAGAAAAAACAGTATTGTACAGGCATAATTGTTTTTTATCTTTATGGTGGCTGTATAAATAATTTAAACACTATTTTTCAGTGCTGAGGGTTTGTGATAAGAGGAATTATTTTATTATTTCTTGTGAAACAGGCTAGGAACATAGATTAGATTTACAGGTGGCATTTGGGATGCTCAAATGTTCTATTCACATGTGATACAGAGTTTAAAATTTGGAAGCAAGTAACCTGTGATGTATGTATGAATGTCAGAGTTCTCACAGGTGATCTAGTGGTATGTGTCAGTTCTGACCAAACTGCTGGCTTTGTTTTCATGATGAAATGTATTTCAGAACGGAAAAATACTTGTTCACCTGCCTGTCTCACTTTACCATGTCTCCATCTGATGGATCGCAAATACTTCTTAGTGTCGAATAAACAGGGAGGAAGGAAGAGGGTGGTAGTGGAACTCTCTTCTCCATTGGACAGCAGTGGTACCATATTCATTGCAGATGTGCAAGGTCGAAGTGTAAATTTTCCTTTCTGATAGCATTTGAATTTATCTCCCACTCCCTAGCAGAATTCTTAGGCATGAATCATGTGGTTTGTATTGCAGCTGCTTTGCTCTGCTGAAATAAATATTCATTGGGGAAAAGAAAGAGGGGAGAGAAGTGATTTCCTATTATTTATGGAATTAATAACTTAAGATACTAGCAGACATGGGGTATTGGAAAGGCTGTGAAGTTGGAAGTAGGAAAATTTTAGCTTCAGCCCCTGTTCCCATTAATACTCAAGAGTACCAAGACTTAAACCATGCTGCTTTCTTTGACAGTTTCTTGGCAGACTTGAGTAGGCAGCTCCCAGTTAATGCACTGGCTGTTTTAAACGTCATTCTTTGGCATTGAAGTCTTCTCTTATAATGTATAGTGAATGTAGGTGCCTGTCTCTGATGGTGAGGATTCAGCTAGGTGGCAGGGCACCTAAACCGGTTAGTGTTGCTGTGTTTAAATATGGCTCAAGGGTTCTCAGAAGCTGATAGTATAGCCAGGATGAAATTTCCAATGTTGTTGGCCCTAGGCTCTGCAGTACCTTTTAGTGTGTCTAAGAAATGGTACCAATGGTTCAAGAATATTCCATGCATGCTCTTTTTTTAAAAAAACACACATGCACATGATAAACTCATTTTTTTGGTGTTAATGTAACCTCACTGGAGCAAGGGAAATCAAAATCCACAGTAGTAATTAGAATTGTGTGATGCAGATTGTTTCAGAAATTCATTAGGCAAAACTGTACCACTTAATACTGTTTCAAATCCCCAGCTTAGAATTTCATTTTCCCAAGTTAAATAATGATAATAGCAATAATACACTTAGGTTAATAGTAAGACTTTAAACTTTTGATCAAGAATGAATTTCTGGAGGCATGCTTTTGAAGAAAAAAAAAAAGATTGCTAGTGGTATAACCTACTGAACTTTGCTCACTAACATATCTTTATGAAGCAATTTGTTACATTCTATAAGGTGGTAGATATTTTTATTAATTTGGTGAATCAAAAAAAAGAACTGTAAAAGATAACCTAGATAGTTGTTTTTCCTCACTAATGAAGTAGTGCTCTTAAAATGTTGTAATGCGCAACAGGAGAAGCTTTGTTCTTGCATTTTGCTGTGTTAAAATTCATGGAAGCTTTTGTGTTATGTCAGAATGAATTTATTTACTAAATCAGAAAAATACCATTTGTGTACAAAAAGTTACAGGCTCTATGTACATTTATGGTGATGTGTTTCAGGGACGAGTAATTGTATAAAATATTTTTCTAGCCTTAGATAAATCATGGGCATGAAATACATTGAGGAATAAAAGTGGTAAATAGTGTTAGTCTAGGTTACTACTTCTAATTTTTTTTGACTCTTTGACTGGCTGGTTAGTTCCACATGTGGTAGATCAGAGTTTGCACTTCAGCCTGTGTTAAGGCCTTGCTGAAAGTCCTGTATCTCTAGATTTTAAGGAATTTTAGTGGATCTGAGATGTTGAGGATTTAATGCCAATTACATTTTATTGAAAATGCTATGAAAATACTTAATGAAAAGAAATATTAACGTAAGGAATAACAGTGGAATAATCTGACTGAAAAATAGTGTAAAAGAATATAAAATCTTATGTTTAAGTGATTAAAATCAAATGATTAGCAAATAAAATACACTTCATATTGACTTTCAAAATAGTATAGACAGGCTAGGTTTAACAAAACTGATAGACAAATTGACAACAGCATAGGTTTTCTATGATTAAATCAATGAGTTTTCCTTAAATTCTGTTTTAGATGGCAATGAAAACAAAACAACGCATGCTAAAGGAAGACTGGGAATTTTTTAAACAGAGGCGTTTTATTGAAGAGCAGGTAGGATTTTTTTTTTATACCATACTAAGTTATACTAATGCTTCATGTATATTTGTACGATGCAAACATATGAGTGTAGTATATTGTACTAGTCCTATGTGATCTGATTCTGCAACTATGCCAGGCATGAAATTTGGTCAGCTAAAATAGAGAAAAGCAAGATTCAAGAAGAGTATGTAATGGTATGTCATCTTAGTTACTACAAGGTAAAAACTTAAGCACCACAGTCTTAGGATTGAATACCAGGTGTTAAAGTTCTTTACACAATAAAAGGGGAATTTTTGATGCCTTAGAGTGGGATCCAAAACAGCCAATACATTGAGTGTGGAGCTGCCTTGATGTACATGGTAGGGAATGTTGTGTTCAAGAGTTTAACAAATTCACTTGTGTGTGCGGAGCTGGGGAGTGTGAGCCATGGTAGCAGGGCAGATGATTGCATCTGTTAGGATTCTGGAGATGGCTCCTACATGTGTTTTGTGGGGAAAAGGCTGAGCAGAACTACTTACCTTTTTTTAAGCTATAGCCGGAGAGGGGCCAGTAGAAGTTCCTACCTTATTATAAAACTGTCTGCTGTTTAAGATACAGTACTCTGTTCTGTAGCCTGGAAGTGTTCAAGTATGTATCATGTTGTCCATAAGAGTACAGTGTGACTTGGCTAGAGTCAAGACTGGATGGGGAACCTCTCCATTCCTGTACCACTGTGCAAAAAGAAATGCTAGTCATGAGCCAGAGAAAGAGAGCATATGACAGTATGTTTTGGTAAACCTAAGCTTAAATTAGCAATGTCCCAAAGCAGTCACCAGTAAGTACTTTTTCCTATAAGGAACATAAGCCTGTGTTAACCATGTCTTTTAGAACATCTGGTATACAGGGCTTCTCAGAGGACTTGAGGAAGAATCCTCTTTTTCATTGATCCTAATTGGGCTTAAGTGAGCTCTAAGCCCATGGCTGCTTTGGTCAGGATGAGGTCTGGGCATCTATAGAAGTGGAAGCTTAGGCACATCCTTGTTTAACTTAAGATTTGTAGGTTTCTAATGAAATTAGATGCTTTCAGGTTTAGGCCTCTGCCGGGTGGAGGTTATTTGGATTGTATTTTTTCACTAATGCAGTCAAGTCCTGTTTTGGGCAGCTATTTCATTCCTTGAATCTATCCCATTGTGGCTACAGAATTAGTCCTAATTCTTTTTTGCAAGCTAAGAGTGAGTTTGCATTCTCTCTACATTCGTCAGCAGTGTCCTTTTCTGCATACCATGAAACAAGACAAGAACTGCTCAAGTTCTGGGTCTGTCAGCAGAAATATCATGCAAGATGCATGTACAAATGAGTCAAGGAGATGGACTTGGCCACTTTAATATTTCATAGGAGAAACATACTTTCTTTGAAGAGTTTCAGTGTCAAATGTTTGTTGTTTGTGACTTTGAACTTCTTTGTTTTTTAACTCATGATTAAAACACCACTTTCATGAAATTATTCTGAACCATTCTGCTTTTAAAATATTTTGCCCAAAGAACCCTTTTTGATTATGTAATTTGTTAATCATGATGTGCCATTGAATTGTTAATGGAAAAACTTGCACTACTAAAACGCTGCCTTTATAATTTACTTCAGCTTAATAACAAGAAAGCACTAGCTGGGGAGAACAACTTCACAGACACAATGAGACACATGCTGTCATCACGTTTGAGCATGCCTGACTGTCCCAACTGTAATTATAGAAGAAGGTGAGCTGATTTTTTTAATATGAAATCATAATATATCATTAATTTCTTGTTCAAGGAAAAAGGAAATACATTATTGGAACAAAGAGTGTGGTTACTTTAAATGAGTGCTACTTAAACAAGATCCTAAAAATCTGTAATCTTAATTCTTGAACAGATGTACTTGTGATGACTGCAGCCTTTCACACATTTTAACATGTGGCATCATGGATTCTCCAATAACGGATGATATCCACATTAATCAGTTACCACTACAAATTGATTCTGCTCCGGATTATCTATCTGAGATCCGCCCACCCAGTATGTCTTCAGCAAGTTCAGGATCAGGTTCCAGCTCGCCCATTACCATTCAGCAACACCCCAGACTGATCCTCGCAGATAATGGTTCTGCACCAACTTTGTAAGTTCTTTTTCTTTGTTTTAAAATTTTGTAGTGAATTGAACTTAAGTAGGTGAGTTGCATTGGCTGACTATCATTTTGTAATGCTTTTTTTGCCTTAGAAAATTATTTAATAATGGTACTGTATTCAGCAGACCACAACTCCAGCGCTATATGTTGTGCAAACATAAATTAAAAAAAAAAAAAAAAAACCAAAAACAAAAACCCCAAACAAACTTGTAAAATTCTTAAAAATTTTTGAAGATGTTGACTTAACACTATTGCTAGAAGTGTGTGTAGTATGTACTTTCCTGCTTTGCAATTACAAGGACGTCAGATACTGATCTACTTTAGAGCATCATTTTAAAATGGCCTGTTTTCTTACAATGAGCAAGGAAATTGGTGATCTTTTCTTTGAGGGTTGGTCATTTCATATGAATCAGTTTCATGCCAAAAAAGCCTTTATTAGGAGGCTTTTAGGATTGTTGAGGTTGTGTTAACTTGAGTCTTGCATCAAAGATTACCGTCCCTATCAGAAGTACATGCCACCCTCTTTCTTTAATTCAGATCACAATGACCGTCAGATTTGAGGCATTAGTCTAATGGTAGACTTGTGCCCCTTCCATAATTCTGAAGGATTAAAACTGCTTGGTAGGCTGGCTTCTGTACATGTTTATGGTACAGCTAACCAGCAGTCTTCTCTGTCATGTGATATTCTAAAGGAATTTTTTAAAAAACCCAACTTCAGTACTGGTGGGAACACTAATGAAACACCTGTTGTCAGTACAGACAAGGAAATTGGTGTTAGCATTCCATGTTAATATGGTGTAATGAACAAGGACGATTGAGATTTGTGGGATGTTTCTGATGAATATCAGTTCATTAAGTTCACTTTGCTTTAAACATTTACCTTTGCATCTACTACTGTCAATGGTTTAATCTTCCACAACAGGACTTTAGTTTCTGAACCCATTTGGGGAGTGCTTGAAAACAGATTGTGTGGCGGTATGTTTAGCTACATATTCTTAAATGTGTGGTTTGCGATTTCTGTGAACTCTCATTAGTTCTGGCATTGAAATATCTAAAATTGTTCAGTTTGTCTCTTCAGAAGCTAGTTTAGTTGAATCCAAGTATTATTTATTGTAAGAAGCCTATTTTTAGGGAAATACCACTGCTCCTTGGGAAAGGGCCATTTTATGTCTCATATCTGCTGTGTTTTAGTTCCTCATTGCACATTTGAAATATGCTTAGTGATGCCATCATGTAATTAAATTTTGGTGCAGTATTTCATGGAATGCAAAATGATAATGTGCACACTTTAGGAGCTCTTCTAGGAGCTCTGGATTGCTGTAGAAACATGAACTAACCAATCTTGGCAACACTTCCTTGGAGCGGGTAATTAAACTTGCATGTTCTTTTACTAGCTCTCTGTGTGGAAAATATTTCCATTAAGTATTTTAGAGCAGATTCTGAAAAGCACGTAGATGTGGAGTTGTCTAGGAACTGATTGCTATAGAGAAATTTAAGAGTTACGGTGATGTGTTCAATGTTCCCTACTTACTGGTTTGACATTTAAGGTATGGAAAAAACTTTAATTTTATATTGTACTTTTTCCACTTCACACTTTCTGTAAAGGAAGTCATCGGCATAAGGCTTTTTTCATCCAATTAAAGGTCATCCATATCCTGTCATTAATTCCATAGATTCTTGGTCAGAAAACAGTGGTGGAAAAATATTTTACACAGAAATAGCAGAGAATCTTATTTTCAATCCAGTCTGTTGTTCAGGCATGCAACTGCTGTATTCAGTAGGATTATATGGCAGGTGGCTTGATTTTACTTGCCTGAAAAAATAAGTTCAGTTAAACAACTTGAAAAACAATCCTTTGACTCCTAATTGGAACATGTATACAAGGGATGCCCTCAACTTGATTTCATTTTGGTGTTCTACCTAATTTCACAATAACCGAGGTTACTAAGCGCTGTGATTTATCTAAGCCTCTTTTCCCCTCAGTGGTAGTGATGATGAAGATGTTGCACCATTATCAGCAAAATTTGCTGATATCTACCCACTGAATAATTATGACGATGCAGAGGTTGTAGCCAACATGAATGGAATTCACAGTGAGCTAAATGGTGGAGGCGAAAACATGGCATTGAAAGACGAGGTACAACATTTACACTATCATTTTTCTGGCATATCTTTTTCTGGCAGTTGGATGTGCTCACTGGAGAAAGGCCTGTCCTTCACCCCGATGTTAATGAGTTAATGTTGTCCAGTCTCCTCAGGTGAGCAGTACTAGCAGCAGTTCCTCAGAAGCAGATGATGAAGAAGCGGATGGGGAGAGCAGTGGTGAACCACCAGGGACTCAAAAGGAGGAAATGCCTTTAGGAAAAAGGGCATTAAGGAAAGATGAAGCAAAAATGGATAGTCCACCACCTTCTTACCCTAGTCAGCAGGTATAGTAAACTAAAAGCAACCCTTTTAGTAAATTAATTTTTGAAATGTGGATGCTCGAATGATAATGTATTTATATCTTCAATTAAATATTTAACTTCTAGTATGTTACGTTTTCAGTAGGTAGATACGATACCAAAAATATTTTTCAGCTCGTTGTATATTGTCATGGCTAATATTTTCCTTTAATCAAAACCTGAAATATGTTAGTTATATTGAAGGTGGCTTCAGTAAGAGGGGAAAAAAATTTGTTCTTGCTTGTATGAGTGAGAAACAGAAACTAAAAAGCATTTCTACTTTGAAGGTTGAGCTTGGTCTTTGTTAAATATTAATGCTATTTGAAATTCATTGGGGTGGGGGGAAATGATGTGAATTCTTAATGGGCACTTTTTAATATTATATCTGAAAACTAACTTCCCCTGATGAAACTCTGTGTAGTTAAATCCATTGCATGACTTACGGCATGGGTCTTGGGGTGTTTGGCTCTTTTTAATTTTTTAATATTTTTTTTTTAATGGCTTAAGGTTATTAAGCTCTTTACTGTGAGGTCACCAGACCACCCAGAGAGCCATGTCTAGAGTATCTGCTCAGCAGGTGTTTGGTTTAACCTGAGCACCAAAGCAAAGCATCCGATGGACTTATCTTTGGGATTGTGTGGCTTTTAATCTGAGTTACCCTGCAGCTACAACACAGGATTGCTGCATTGAGAGGGAACCTAGCAGTCGCTTTTATTGTTTATTGTATGAAAGAATCCACATGGGAGGGGGCACCTTTCAGACTTTAGATGATAGTCAGGTGGGAACTCCCATTAGATATTCCCCTGTTGTTAGGATGTTTGTAAGGCCTTCCACTGGAAGTATTTTCTCATGTTTTAAGTATACTAAGAGTATTAAGCTACTGTTCTTTCAGCGAGTATGCTGACATGTTTTACTCTGGCTGACCAATGGCATAATACTTACATGGGCTGAGACTGCTGTCAAACTAGTTTGAAACTGGTGAACAGATTCAGCATTTGTTGTGGAAAATCAAATGAGATTATGTAAGTCTGCTTGCCTTAGGGAAGCAAGCTAAAAATGCAAGATAAAAAGGCAGATTTAACCTTCTTCTTTTTTGTTTTCTTTGAGGAAAAAGAATTTTCTCAGAATTATTCTGAGGAACTCTTAATGTCTTCCTTTTTTTTTTTAGCCTGATTTTTTTAATCAGAGCTGAGTATCTACCTTGTAACACTGCATTCAAGTGACTGATTTCGCTGGTACATGTCATGTGCATTTCCGATTTTTTGGCATTATCTGTTGGGGTCGCTCATTTATGCAGTATCTTTATTTCTCTTCGGATTCCTTTTCATACTCAGTACCCAAAGGTTTGTCAGAATTGGATTTTGAATCTTGCCATACTCTTTGACATTTTTTTTCCATTTACATTTGTTAGTAGAATAGTATTGGTCTCTTCATGATACAATTTTTTTTTATGAGAAAGTTATTTTTTCTTTATACACCTAATTAATTCAATAATTGTATTTGGTTTATGAACTCTTTGGTAGTTAAAATATACCTTTTGTCAAAGGCTGTAATTCTTTTTTGTGATAATGAAGAGTTATGTGTTTCTGAGAGGAAGGCGTGTTTAAGAAGAATACCACCTGTCAGTTCTTTTCTAGAAAGCTAAGTTAGCTAATGTTGCTTTTTGGAAAAATGCATACTGCCACGTTGCTGGGAAGAGTAGCAATTGGGAAGTGTTCCTGGTATTACTACTTGTAAAATTATCTTCCAGTGAAATGTCAGGTGACAGTGGCAGGAAAAAGTACTGAGCTGAGAGAAGGAAATAGAGCTGCTCTTGCCTGGGCTGTTTTTCTTCCAAAGTCTTGAATCCTTTTGAGACAACAGAGGCTAATGATACCTTGAGATCAGTAAAAGGTTCTAATAAGGCATGGATTTCTCATGGTTGATACGATTATGAAATTTTTTGTGAGAAACGTCTGCTTCACACAATCACAGAACAGTTGAGTTTGGAAAGGACATCTGCAGATAGTTTAGTCCAGCTCTCCTGCTCAAAGCAATGTCATCTAGAGAAGGTTGGTCAGCAGTGTGTCCAGTTGGGTGTTGAGTATCCCCAAGGATGGAGGCTCCAGAGCTGCTCCAGTGTTCAACCACTCTCACAAATGCTTTAAGTGGAATTTCCTGTATTTCAGTCTGTGCCAGTTTTCTCTTGTCCTTTCATGGGATACCACTGAGAGGGGTCTGGCTCTGTCCTCTTTACTCTTCCTCTTCCCAGCCCAGCCAGGGAACGCACACTAATAAGATCCCCCTGAGTCTTCTGTCTTGAGGCTGAACAGTCCTAGGTGTCCCAGCCTCTCCTTGTATGACAGATGCTCCAAGACCTAAATCATCTTTATGGTCCTTCACTGGACTTACAGCAGTATTCCATCTCTGTTGTACTGGGGAGCCTAGAACTGGACCCAGTGCGCCAGGTGTGTCTCGTTAGTGCTGAGCAGAGTGGAAAGATCACCTCCCTTGACGTGCTGGCAGTGGTCTGCCTGATGCAGCTCAGGACTACTTCCAACTTCATCAGCTAATCAACCCTTATTACTGCTTTCTACACATACTGTTTTTCCATGTGCTTGGAAAATTGTGGAAAATAATAGTCTAATTTGAATTTTCATACTGGAGTAATTAATTGCCTAGTAATAATCAAATGCTGTCAAGGTTTCTATTCCTGTCTGTTCTTGATTATTTGCATCAGTATCTCGCTTGTTGTCACTGATTGTGAACACTAAATGTCTATATAGTATGAAATGCTGTCAGTTTTTAGGCCGTTCTTTTCTTAACTAAGATAAAGATCTTCCACTAGTGCTTTTAGTTCACTACAAGGTTTTTTCCATTGGTATTAGATGAAAGAATTTTGTGGGTGCTCTGACAATATTAATTGATGTATGCAAAATGAAATAATATTAATGATTACTAAGAAAAAAGGATGGGGGAAGTAGCTGATTTTACTGTCTGTCAAGTAGATTGAACTTTATTATTGGGGTTTTTTGTTGGGTTTTTTTTTTTAAATTTTTATTTTCTTACAGGCTGACCAAGGTCCAAATGCTTGTGAATGTCATGTTTGCAAACAAGAAGCCTCAGGTCTAACAGCCTCTGCACTTGCAACTGGACGCCTGCCTGCCGGCCACCAGTTTATGAATCCTGAAAAACCTGCACATCCTGCACTTCATCTTTATCCTCACATCCATGGACATATACCATTGCATACAATTCCTCATCTGCCTCGTCCACTTATCCATCCCACTTTGTATACAGCTTCTCCCTTCACACACAATAAGGTAAGCCTGACGAAGGAGATGGATGCATTCTCACCCTAGCAAAAATACTGTTACACCTGTATAAACTGGCGTGCCTGAGTATCAATGAAACCACGAAAGTTGCTTTAAATTGTCTGTTTATAGTAGTCCGTTTGGAGGGAATAGAGAGGGGTAGGGAACAGGACAGATTCAGACCTGGTGGAATGTTCATACAGCAGGGGTAAGGGTAGCTGTTGTCAGGAAGACTGATAATTTTCTTACTGTGGTTAGAAAGCACATGGAGTTAAATGAGTATTGAATGGTGGAAACAGTGATGGGACTTTAGTCAGTGTAATAGGACTAATTAAATCTTCATTTCATATATATTAAAGGTCAAAATTTAATATTCCATTTTGGAAATAATATCCTGAGGTTTCTAGTACAAAATGCTGGTAATTTTTTTTTTTTTTTTTTGCGAAAATTGAGGCATAGGAGTCTATTTGTGATGGGGGTTTTTGTGCTTTGAGAGAACTTGCTTTTTTGCAGGTTCTGCAAAATTCTTTTGACCCAAAACTTGTAATAAGCAAGAGAAAGATGTGGAACAAGGACTGGGACCAGGTGACAGCTTTTCAGAAGTATGAGTCAAAAGCAAGAATTACTATTAATGTGGTGTTGCTTCACATACCATTTAAATCAGCTGAACTGTGGGTGCTGCTGAAAGGGGCAAAGACTTTGTCATTAGGTACATATTCCTGTCGTCTCCCTTTGGTCTGGTCCAGTGATCCTGTGGTTGCAAGAAGAGTAGATTAGTTCACTAAGATGAGTATTACTTACTCTTACCGTCTTTCTTAACATCCACTTTGTTTTTTCGTCTTACTGGTGTCCCTTCCTTATCTCTGTTGCAGTGCTCCAGTTCGGTAACTGCACTGTGCCAGCCTGCCATTTCTCAACAGCCCACTGCCATTCTTCTGAAACCCCTAATTGTTGCCCCTACCTTCTGCCATCCTTCCAGAGCTCTTTTTACATATGGCAGTCTACTCAAGCTCCCATCCCTGATCTCTGCTGTCTTTCCTTTCAGAAGACCTTTGTGTAGCGGAACATCTGCAGCGCACTGTCAAGGCTGCACCAGAAGCCCCACACAGAGTAGCAGGCTGCTAGCACTAAGTGGCTTTGTAATGCAGGCCAGATCTATTAGCTCTGGCACAGCACCTGAACCAGCTGGGCTCCATGTATTTATGTGGTGCTGGAGCTGGAAAGACATATGTGGAAGCTGAAGCTTTAGGGACCTTTTGCCTTTGAAGAGCCAGCTGAATGTAGCAGAGCTGGTGGTAAATGAGCTAATAAGCCCTGTTGGATCAGGCTTGTTCTATCATGGATAGGCTGTTCTGCCCTGTGAAGTGTTTCTTTGTACCCATGTATATGAGTTTTCTTTAATGCAGGGTATTCCAGCCTCTCCCACCTTCACCATTAGTCAGACAATGAAAATCTTTCTATATAGCAAAAGGAGACTGGGTATGTAAGTATTTTGTTTGGCCATGAGTGTTCAGACTTTCATGTCTGAAATGTCATTGGACTGAGCTGATATTTTTAATATCTATATCTACTTCTGTGTAGCTTTTCATTGCATCAAATCTAGTGCAAAAATAGAACAAACTCACTCTTCCCTATCTTTTTTAAACGTGACAGTAATTGAATATAATGCTTGCATTGCACAAGGTCTGTGGGAGAACGTTACTTTCTAGAATGTGAATAAACAATTTCAGCCAGAAGAAATGCGGTGAGCCAGAACACCTTGCCTCTATAAAACAAGAAAAACTGCATGTTCCCTTTTTTTTTTTTTCCCCTCCTAGTTGCTTCTTAAAATAAAAGGGTGTATTCCTTCCCTGTTAAGTTTTAAGTCAGGAACCTGTTAATACTTGGAGATTAAAAAAGCAGAAGAATATAATCAACTTTAAAATGATGTTTTCAAATAACAAGTGTTTTATTTCTTTTTCTGCTGTGCTTATTTTCAATCCTGAAGTGTTTGTAATCCCTTTATCACAGTTGTCTTATGTGGTAATGATTATCATGTCACAGAGGATTGGTTTTGGCAGCTTGGGCTTTGAAAGGTAGCAATTCCTAACAAGTTCTACATATATACAAATACTGTTTTTAATTAAAAATGAGGCCCTACCAATATATATTAACCCAGGTATTTTTAGAGAACGCTTTTTTGTATTTATCAGTTAGCTGAATCTAAAAGCAATGTTTGTCATTATAAAATATATACATGTACATACAATCTATGTAATGTATTATCTGCACTAAAAATCAACAAACCAGTCTTTTTGTCATTCTGGGAAATACTTATTATGCTTTTTAGAATGCCTTTCACAATTGAAACACTATGATTTGAATATTGCTGTTGGAGTGACTGTGTAAGCAAACAGAATATTAATGAGGAAAATACTCTTTATTTTTGTAGGCATTACCGCCAGCTCCAGTTCAGAATCATACAAACAAGCATCAAGTATTCAATGCATCTCTCCAAGATCATATTTACCCAAGCTGTTTTGGGAGCACTCCAGATTGGAATAGTTCTAAATTTATAAGTCTTTGGGGATCAGAGATGATGAATGACAAGAACTGGAATCCTGCTACATTTTTGCCTGATACGATTCCTGGTGAGGGTTTGTTACTACTTCACACTGACTAGTTAAAAGCTTTATGTTTTGAAATGGAGTGTGGCACTTTTTTCCAGGAATGGTAGGTTTCATCATCATGGTTTTATAAGATGAGATTCTGGCAGAGATTTGCTGCCATTTCTACTCCAGTGGGGCTGAAAATTAAAAAATAAATTCTTATGTATTGGGGAGAGGATGCTAAAGGCAAAAGAATAGCGTGCTATTTTTCACCTACAGTCATTGTAGAGGTATTTTTGTCTTCAGAAGTTTAGGGTTGCAAAGAAATGGGAATTAAGGGGAAACTTAAATAATTTTTGGTTTTCTGCCACAAAGGCATGCTCTTTTTCTACAGGGTTGTAAGAGCATGGGTAACATGGTACTACATCCCACATCTTAAAATGTGCAGGGATAACTGCATTGTCATACAAAAAGACAGAGGCATAAATCAAGCAAAAGATTACTTTAAGCCAGGAAGCCTTTGGAAATACTAATGGTTGTGGTGAAAGAAAATAGAAGAGGAATAACAACAGAGAGAGATCTTTCTATTCACATAATAGCAAATATTAAAATGCCTTTTTTATTTCATTTGACTTGTATGAAAAAGGAAGCTTGGTTTTGTGTGTTGGCTTTTTTCAGACTGATCTGCTGCTAACCTGTGTCAAGATAGTACAGGGATATTTAAAAGGGAGAGGCATTAAAAGCTTCCCCAGTAGGACAGCTCATCTATTTACAAACGTAGTTGGGGTAGTTGTTCCAACAGATGACTAGTGGCAAGCTTGTGTGGAAGGTCTGTCACAAAGGTGTTACTGTAGTTAGCTGGAATTTCCAATAAGTAAAGATAAGATTTATGATGTTATATTGATAGAAGGATATGTTGTTCCTGCTTATAATTGTTGCATGGCTTACCTGGACTTCAGATATTGAAGCTTATATACTTAGCATGTAAAATGGTGTCCAATTTTAATTTTTAAATTATAAATGTATAAAGTATCTGTAGCATCTTTGCTACTTGTTAACACACATTTAGTAGTGTTCTTAAAATTGTAACTTTAAGGTTTGTGACTTCTGCTCTGAGACTTCTTGGCACTTTTTGTTACAGCTATATTTGCGGGGGAAGGAGGGGGAAAGGAGGATCACTTCACTAATCCTACCAAGCCAACACTAACAACATATCCTTGTTTCTCTGCATCTAAATTATTGAATCTTTAATTCTAAATGCCATAAAGACAATTCTGTAATTCTGTGATTCTTAATAACTATGTGTGTTTCAATTGAAGGGAGTGATATATTAGCACCAGCACTCTCAGAAATAAGACCCGAAGCACTTCCTACTACATCTAGCAATGAAGCAACAACAGTTATTGACAGCAAAGAGAAAAAAAATGCTGCAAAGAAGAAATGTCTGTACAATTTCCAGGATGCCTTTATGGAAGCTAATAAAGTTGTCATGGCAACCTCTTCTGCCACTTCTTCTGTCTCCTGCACAGCAACTACAGTGCAGTCAAGCAGCAACCAGTTCAAAGTATCATCCAAGAGACCTTCGTCGATAGGTAAGGATTTGTAATTCATGTACAGATTAGTAACTGACTCATGTACATTTAGCAAACCATAAAGATTTGTATGTGTTTATTTTAGTAATATTATATATCTTGATGATTTTCTTTAATTGCTGTTCTTCTTACTCTTGAGTTACAGTCTCTGTCCTCCTGGATTAAAGAACCTTGTAAAAGACCTTGATGTTGAAATACTGCTGGTTTTTTACAGAATCTGAGAATATCCAGCACTTTGTGTGGTTGTTTGGGTAGTTAATGGAGACTTATTAATTATTTTTAATTGTAAGTTGCTTCTTTTTTTCCCCAATTTAGGTGAAGTGTTCCACAATATTAATAAAGAGGACCATAGACATTCTGCACCAGTTGCACCACGAAATAGTCCTACCAGTTTAGCATCCCTTCCTTCACTGTCTCCTGCTGCACTGTCTCCAGCCTCTACACCACATCTTCCAAATCTTGCTGCTCCTTCTTTCCCCAAAGCTGCTGCAACAGCCCCTGGATTTGTGGATCCTCATTCAGGTCTTTGTCCTACTACAGTTGCACCTCCTACTTCAACCACAGACAGCTCTGTAAGTGCCCCACCAAGTGTCTGCAGGTAAGTTTGTTGTTGTTATTGTAGTTCTTTTTTACAATAGAAGGGGAATTAAAATACAGATACCTCTTCTCCTTTGCCAGTGGTTGTAGTGTGAAAGAAGAGCTGTCTGCGTGTTCTGCAAATGAGACTGAGTTTAGATACTTAATATGCAACTTGGTGTGAGACTTTACAAATATGATTTCCATTGCAGAATCTAGTTCTTGAGTTTAGAGGCTTAAAAACAAATGTTTTCTCACTTTTAGAAATATCACCTGGGATAAATAAGTCAAGCTCTATTATTTCTTACTCTGTCTTGCTGGTGGTGATTGCTGCTGCTGAGACACAAACCTGTTGTATAATGTATCTGTCTTCTGTCATTTCAGCATTACATGGCAAGCAGGAATGAAAAGCTGTGAAAACTTAAGGAGTCTGTAGACAGATTTAGCTCAAACTATAAAAAGGTTTTGAAACCTGCTACATAGTAACACATTTTCCTGACTACACTTAAGACTTCTTAGGTATCAGTCCCACCATTTATACAGTGGTTGTAGTGTGGAAGGATGTTCTGATTTCTGAAGGTTTTCAAAGATCTTGGAGGTTGGGAGGAGTTGTCTTCTGGTAGTGTTATGTATTGTGGCAGACTGACAATCGTGCCAACTCTTCGATATGTCTGAAGAGTGCAGGCATAACAGAAAAGCAGTTGAGTCATTACTCTAAGTATTCTGACCTGCAGGGCTGTGGTCATGGTTGCTATGCATGTAGTCTGCTGGCTACTGCAGTAGTTTTCAGAAGATGATGTGATATTTAGGCAGAGTTAGTTAACTGCATACCTGAAGTGCTTCTAAAAATGCCCTTATTTCTGTTATCAACGGGTTTTATTGATGATATCACAAAAGAAGTAACTGTTCTTTCCTGCTCAAGAAACTATTTGCAGTTTTGGAAAGAAACTCTCTTACCTAGTGCAGAGAGAGAATTGAATATAGGATATTTAATGCGATAGAAATCCAACTTTATCATCATCTCCAGGTGCTAACATGACAAAGTAATTTTAGTTCGTAAGGAATGAACTGGGAGAGAACCTAGAAACAATTATTGCAGTCTATATGAATCAGTAATGTGCTATAATGGGGAAAAAGTGCTTTATGCTCTAGTCTTTCAATCTAGTGACTGAGCGACAGAACTAACGAAGTCTTGATTTCTATGGAATTGTATCTGTTACCCCTAGTGTGTGCTATCCCAGTGTGCTGCTGGGCACTGTAATGCTGACTCTCAACAGACGAGAAACAGTGATGCAAGGGCTGCTCAAACTGACTAGTCAGAATGTTTGCACTGACTGGCAGTATTTCCTGTTCAGCAGTTCTGCATGCCTTTTCCATAACTGAGATACTGAAGTTGAACAATTTTTCATTCTGTCCTGGTAACTAATTCTTGAGAAACGTATTGGTAGGGAGTGGAGGGGAGTAAGATTAGAAAAAAGATTCACATATATTTGCAGATACGACAGATTATGGCTTGTTTTCACCTTTCTAACATAAGAATGAAGAAATACTAATCCTAGATGAGTGGATTTTTCTTTTAAATACTTTTGAAGCAAGATCACATCAGTTTTAGAAGAACCGGACAGTAGATATGTTGGGCGCACAGTTATGCAGAGCTCTGGACGGAATAAACTGCGATATAGGTGCTTATTGAAGAGACATGCTAGTATTTCCCCTTGAAAATAAAGGTGCAAACAGGGTAATGGGAACATTTTGGTTTTATCTGACCCTGAATTTTTTCTTAAAGTCAAGAGGTTGCAAATCTATCTAAAACCAGGGGATTTTAGAAATAAGTTGAGTACTTTGCAACTGCACAGCTCTCTTCAACTCACAAGTGATGAGATGGGCAGCAGTTTCAAAACCGTTCCATTTAAAAAAGGTAAATCACTACTTCTGAAACCATTTTACCTGTTTAAAGCCAGGAAGAACAGTTCCAAAACTCATTCTCTAGGCTGCTCATTCAATGAGTCACTAAATGAGGTTTTATAAATGAATTTCTCTTGTATCATCTTATCTTGCTGTTTGGTTTTGAGCATCTCCATTTGCAAGCTACTAGATGAAAGCTTTAGGATTTGATGCATCACTGGTGGCTGATTTCCCAGTCTGAGAGTCATTGTTCCCGGTAGATGTACATAGAACTGTATATGTTCCTTTTCAAATACCTTATTTACTATAATCTAGAGTTTTTATAAGCTTTTTCTTAATTTAACATAGTGATCCTGATTGTGAGGGCCATCGCTGTGAGAACAGTAACACGTATGATCATCAACAGTACGATGGAGAGGAGAGCCAAGATGAAGACAGCTGTTCAGAGCACAGCTCCAGTACCTCAACATCCACAAATCAGAAGGAAGGAAAATACTGTGACTGCTGTTACTGTGAGTTCTTCGGCCATGGAGGAGTAAGTTGTATTTTAAATTGCTTTTATTTGCTTTTTTGTCACTTACTCATCATTGATTGTATGTGATTTATGAGACTGCAACTAAGGGAGTGGCACTGGAGCTCACTCAAGAGAAAAAGTACAAGGAGCATGGTTAGAAAGTAATTTTCCTCTTTGAAATGAAGGTCTGAAACAAACCTTTCCAGCTGAAAGCAATTCAATAAAAATGACTAAAAGATTTAGGAAGCAACTGACTTGGATAATAGATACCATGTTTGACTGAAACTGCGAAGAGGGACATTGAGCCATTCTAATAACTTTACAAAATTCATGCACTCATCTGTAGTAGTGTGATTATAAATAATGTGATGAGTTTGAGTAAAAGTACACTTAATATAGGACATTTTTTAAATGTTTGTAGCAATTTATGAGCCATTCTCCCATCTATAAAAACAGCAATCCTCAACTTGAACTTACTTTTTTTTCTTCTTTTTCCTTTTTTAAAAATAAACTATTCTTATGTAGAACTTAGGCAGTGTAAGTTGAAATTATACTTTTATCAAAGGACCCAAACTGCATTTTCCCTGTTTTCAGTATTACAGACAATTTTATTTACTGGTGCATTTTGATAGACACTGACTTGCATTACTACTTAAAGGGTGTTTTGAAGAAATTATGGATTTCTAAAGCATGCGGGTTATATAAAATCTTTTCCCTTATGTTCTTTATTTGAATACTTAACACTTTGTTTGAAGCATCCTGAAGTTAACTTCATACACGTCTAGTGAATTCTTGTAATCATATCTTTTCATTTGCATGAATGCAATTCTAAAAGCTGTTAAGTTGCCACATTAAATTTTTTCTTAACTTAAAATTTCATTTTCCTGCTGGCCTCATTTGTAAATTCTGTGTATAGTCTGGTTTAATAATCAGTTAACTAGTAGAATTTGAGTGTCTGGCATTTTTTTTCCTATTTGACATACATGGCCAATAAACAGCTTTTATTTGATCAGACGCAGTTTCATCTTAGAGTATGAAGTGAATTAAAAGCCCCTGCCCTGTGGCTGGAAGGGGCAGGGAGGGGATCCCGTTTCTCATCACATGGACATGGTGGGAACATGAGTGATCTGTCTTTGATAGGTATCTGCACAGTAAGTTATTCATTTTGCTGAAGTGGCAGAACGCTACAGGATTTTTAAGTTAATGGGCTTTGTTTTGCTCGTTTAATGAGTTGAACTGGTGTAGCTCCAAACAGATGGGCACCAGATCTGGTGCAGGAAGGGAGAGGGTAAGGCAGCAGGAGGGGAGGAGGAATGAGAAGTTGAGAGGCAGGAGCAGCGGATGGGAATAGAGATATGAAACATGACGCAAGGATTCAGCTTGCAGCAGTGTTACCAAGTTATTGATGCGACTCTGCTGGAGGTACGCTGGCATGCAGGGTCATTAAGCCTTCACAGTTACAGCCCAGAGGCCCATGTAGCCTGAACTCTGAAACAGACGTCATAGAAAGTGGAAACAGCAGCAAATGTCTGCTCCTTTCAGATTTCCTAGTGTGGTATACCGATCACAAGAGAATATGGAAATCTTCCTTCTTGCTTTTAAAGGTATTTGTCGTCTTACTTGTGCATTCCTCCACAAGATCAGTCATTCTTTCAGTTGGAAAATACAGTTCACAAGCTAGCACCAAGTCTGACAGGTCTGTTGCCTGTTAAATACAACTTCAGGTATGCATACACACAATAAGGAGTCTGATATTCAGGTTTGGACTTTCCAAGTTATTTGAAGGTTTCTAAAATTCCAAACCTCAAAGGTCTTAGGTCAGTGAAATTTTTGTATTTATTCACTAAACTTTTGTCTTGTGTCCTTCAGCCTCCAGCTGCACCAACCAGTAGAAATTACGCAGAGATGCGAGAAAAGCTTCGTTTACGTCTAACAAAAAGGAAAGAGGAACAGCCGAAGAAACCAGATCAGATCTCTGAAAGGGAAAGTGTTGTTGACCATCGAAAGGTGGAAGACTTGCTACAATTTATAAACAGCTCTGAAACCAAACCAGTAAGCAGTTCTCGAGCAGCCAAGCGAGCCAGACATAAGCAAAGAAAGGTAAGACATAAAAGTATGTTTATCCTAGACCTTATGTTTTTGAATCTGTGTACTCTCTGTAAGTATACCACTGTATACTGACTTTATAATAATAGTATAATTGTTTTCTTTGTAGTTTGTGGTACACTGCCTGTTTGTATATACAGAGCTGGCTTACCTGTTCGGATACTGCCTCAGGAATTATATAGTAGACTGGGAAGATTCCTCGCAATATTGTTGTCTTGTGTTTTGTTGCAAGTCAGCTTTATACTGGAATTTTCCACACTTTAGAAAGCTATTTCTAAGTGTCAGAAATGTTAAGAATTTGATTGTTTTGTAGAATTGACATTTAAAAGTGTGGAGGGAGTTAGAAAACTAGCATTTCTGTACTGGGATAATGGTTATGATAAAGTATCTCTGTAGGAAGCCAGGAGACATAAGGTCAGTGCTTTTATGACAGAGGAAAAGTTGAGAATTTATATTTTTAGAATGATTGCACTGGGCACCTTGCTGTCCTGATTGAAAGAGGTTAAGTGCTGGGCCACATGATGACATGAAGGGCTATCCCAAGCTGGAGTGAAGTGGCAAGCTGCAAAGAGGGGGCAAGGAAGAAAAAATTACAAATTGCTTTCAAATGAAAATTGGCAAAAACATTTCTAAAAAAACTCCAATGTGTAACAGTGAAATTATTTTTTGAAAACAGTATTTGAGTTAATAGAGAAAATAAATATATATATATATATTTAAGTTGAACAAGCAGGAAATTGACTTTTCTTACTGCAATTCAAGTATCAGCCTTAGGTATGAAGTTCAAGGCTCGAGATTGGTTGCTGAATGTTTCTGAACGCTGATAAGCATGTTGTGTGACCGCATTGTAAATATTTCTTGTTTGTGGATTTCCTTGCTGGCACTAATTCTGTGTTCTTTAAATGCTTCCATGGGTTTGGAAGACCTGATGTTCAGAAGTTATATTCTTTATGTTCATGTTGTAGCGCTATTCAGCAACTTGAGGGCTTAGTGAGTTAGTTATAAATAAAATTCAATTTGTAAAATTCATAATGAAAAATTAACTTAGCTCTTGCAATGCAGTTTGAGCATAAGCAGTGGAAGATTCTCCTAGGGTATTTTGCATAACTTCTATAAATGTGAAAAAGTAATCCCATACAGGCACTTCTAAATGTGCAAGAAAATAAATGGATGTGATTGTTCTCAGTTCACGATTTCCTTTCTTTTTTGCTAATAATGCAAGATCAATGCTGCACAGCAAAGTTTTAGGCATTTGCAGTAATGGCTGAAAAAAATCCCTTGTGTCTTTGTTCCATGTGGTTTATGAACTTATCGCTGACAGCAGGAAACTTTACCATGCTTACTATTTTTGACAACTTTTAATGTAACTTTTGTGTGCTTAGTGTTTTGCTGTAAAATGTTTTTAATGATTGCTTTTCCTAATGTTCATGAACACTGAAACAAAGCAACTCTGCTACTGTAGCAAGAGAACAGGTAAACGATACAACATGATGCAAACTTGAGCTACCTTAGTAATACATGCAGTTGTTGAGAATGAAGTTGAATGTTATGTTTTCAGCAGGTTTTTGTTCAGCAGGTTGTAGAAAACTTTGATATGGAGTTAGGCTTAACAGTAGCAAAGAGAAGATCAACAGCTGGCATTAACAACAGTCAAATATGTTACAGAAACATAGAAATATAGAAAGGATTTTAATATACTTTAAAGGGCAGCTTTTGTATAAATAGCTATTTGATTGCTGTGCAGACTTCTGGATTAAGTATGTTTGTATGTTAACAACCTAGGATTTATAATGTAGAGAAAAGTAGTAATAATTTCCAAAACATTTGTCACTTTCAATAAACCTATTGTTATTTTGTAGCTTGAAGAAAAAGCTCGACTTGAAGCAGAAGCCAGGGAGAGGGAGCATCACCAGTTGCTTGAGGAACAGAGGCGGCGTGAGGAAGAAGAAGAAGAGAGGCTGAAACAAGAATTACAACGGCTTCAAGAACTTCAGCAGTTGCGGGCTGTAAAGAAAAAGAAGAAAGAACGAACAAGTAAAGACTGTCAGAAGGTGGACATGCTTACTCGAAACTGCCAGGCAGTGAAGGAATCTGTCCCAAACACACCTGAAGACATTCAGAATGGTACACTTGAGCAATCAGAAAAGATAGAAACCTCCTCCGGTTCACTGTCAGGACATGTGAATCATACAGAACAGAGGCCGGTTTCAGAGACAGGCTGTGAACTGTCCAATCCTGTAAACACTAGAGACTCAAAGCTGCTTTATCAGAAAGAGGGGAGTGTAAAGCAGCATGAGCCCCTCTCTTTTCTGCTTGATATTATGCATCAACATAAAGAAGGAAACAGCAAACAGAAACTAAAGCAGATAAACAAACCGTGTGCTGAACAAGTGAAAAAGCCTGTTGAATCCCCCAAAGCAGCTGAAATTCAGAATAAAACCAGAAACCAAACAGAATCCAAAGCAAAAGCAGCAGAGCTCCCAACACTTGCAGAACCTAAAAAAGAGGAAAAGAAATTAAACAATAACAACAAAAAACAGTTAAACCATGTAAAGGAAGAGAAGGCACCTGTAACAAGTGAATCCCCTTCACCAAGCGATCAGCAACAAAATAATAAGCTAATACTTGCAGATTCTCCTCAACCAAAAGGCAAGAACAAGAAAAACAAGAAGAAAAAAGGGGACAAAGTCAACAATTCCATTGGTAAGTGTATAAGAAAGTTGAAGAATTCAGGTTGTTTTTTATTGTTACTGTTTAAGTCCAGAAATTTGAAATCTTCAGTCATTCCTGCCAATGTAGATTAGAGAAACAGAAAAACTGATGTCAGGAAAACTCAAGTCACTGTAATGATAACAATTAGGAGATGCATAGAGCTTTAGTAAAGAGGTGTAGGATGCTTTAAAGAATGAATAAACTGGCATATGCTGCTGGTTTTGTTATGCGGGTTTTGTCAGTTAAGAAAACCAGTCTCTTCTGTAAAGCCTATCTTGCTTAAAATAAATATTTAGAATAATTCAATAGTATGCCGAAATCCATTTTGAACTTTTTTAAAAGCAAGGTTGTTTCTCATACAGCATTAAGAGTATAGTCTAAAGTTGGTCTTACTCTTTGAGCAAGGAAAGTAAGGGGACTCTGCAGCCAAAGAATGATCACTTATGCATAAATATGCATTTTCTCAGTGGAAATAATTCCTTTCATATATTAATTACATTAACAGGTAAGTAAATACAAAAACTAATTTACCGGTTTTTATTTGCCAGAGTGAAAACTTACAGTGAGATGTTAATGAGTTGATAATATTGAGTGTTTTCTCCACATAAATATTAGTTTGTGCTAGTAAACAGATTTTTTAATTTATCTGGTAGAAATAATAAAACCATAGAAGATTGAGTTGACTCAAACAAGTTGCACTTGCATAATTTTCTTCCCAACATATTTTTTTGTGTTCCTGAAAACATCTGACAGCTAATACCATAGCTGAGAAGCTCATGCAGTGCTAGCTGGTTGGCTTTGTCAGCACACTAATCAAACTGCCATTCTTGGGCACCAGTTTATTCCTGCACATGCTTGGTCCATGCTGGGACTGCCAGTTGGGATGGCAGTTTTGCGGTGTGGACATCTGTCTGCTCAGAGCACCCGGTCATTCCCCTGGGATCACCTGGTAGCTGAGTGGTAACGGTGCATAGATTAAATGTCCATTCACCAGAATGACTTAATATTGCAGTTCCTGCTGCTGTTCTGTCTGGTAAGCACATCAAGATATGAGACCTTAATCCACTCTGCCACTGTTTCAGAATGCTTATGTTATTAAGCTTTGTTACAAAAATGTAAACCAAATTCTTAGTTGTTGCAAGTGCTAGGTATAGAGCCCGACTTCGGTTTTATGGTTTCATGCTTGGGTTGAGTCAGCCCAGCAGTCTGTCTTTTTAACCCTTCTTATGTTCAGTGTTTCCATTCCATGTCAATCAAGCAGCAATACAGCATTGAACCCTTTTCTCTGATACCTTAGTTCTTGTGCATACTGTGTTGTGTGTTTAGGTTTGGGGGTTTTTTAATTTGCTGAGAAGAATGTACTCCAGTCAATGGAGCAAGACAAAACTCTAGAATTAGGAGCAGAAAGAGAAGACTGGAGAAACCATTTGAAGACATTTGAAAGAGAAGCTATTGAAGGGGGGTGGTGGTGGAGGATGTTTACTACAGGAGAATGCAAGTAGCTTCCTGTATCTTCTCCTTCTCCTTGCCCCTCACCATTGTTTTCTGCTGCTTAAATCAAGAAGGGTTACAATTTTGAAAACTGATGTTTAAATGTGAAAAAACATAAGGACTTGTTTCTGAATTTATAAAGAGATAATTGTGCTGCTTTCTGAAGACTTGGGACTGGATCACTGCTTTGAGTAGTTCTGACTTCAAAACTACAGGAAGGATACTACAATATACAATTTTTCACTTAGTTTTAATTTCTTAAAGACATAGGGTTGATGTACCAAATTAGCGAAGGCACAAAAAATGAACTAAGGAAAAAAAAAATAGAACTAGTGTAATTGAAAGAACATGAAAAGAGGGTAACAAAGTTTGTTGGGTTTTTTTAACTGAGTTGTAGAATGAAGTGATAAGGCGGTGAACATTACTGCTTTTGGTGTGATGTCTGTTTCTTGAAGAAATAAATTCTGGCAGAGTTTTTTAACTCCTTGTTATGAAGAGGCTGAAGAAAAGTAGGGGTATAGGGAAGCCCTCTGTTTATAGGGCTTTCTGGTTCTTCAGAAGTAAATTGCATGGCAAAGATGTGCAACCTTTAAACTACCAGGAATGCCTTTAGAAAAGAGTTGTTTGTTCTCATAATCTCAAGGATTCTAGCGTCCTGATGTGTACTAGGTGGTTTTGGTTAGTTTGTCTCACCCTTTTTGGAATGTGTTCTGAAGCTGCTTCAGAAATGAGATTGGAGTATATATGTATAGGAAGATGCTCAAATTGGTTTTTGCAAAAATTTATGCTTTCCTGCACATATTTTTTTTAAGTACGAAAGAGAACTGTACACTGAGACAGTACAATATACCAACAGACTTTAAGGAGTCTTTGTTGCTATAGCTGAGGCCTAAATTCAGGCCATATTAAACTATGTTAAAAAAAGTTTTAAAAAAAATTCCTGATTGTAGGCAGCATGACTTCAGACTCTTGCAGACACAGCCTGATGATCATGTCCCAGGGGGAGTACAGCAGCTCTACAAACCCAGAATTCTTAAAGTATTTTTCTTTATAAATACCATTTTTAAAATGTTTCTAAAGCTGCCTTTTCTGTAGTAAGGCCAACAAATTTCAGGCAGTTGAATGCTGTTCGTTAGCTATCTGATTCGTTGTACAATTTGACCATTCTCATGTGTAGTCCAGGTTTATTGCAGCTTTTGCAACCAATGCAATCAGTAAATTTATTGGTGATTCATCTCTCCCTTGTTCCCAGTGTAACTCCGTAAAGGCTGAGCAGAGGTACTAGTATAGGGTTTTTAAGGTGTCTTTTTAATTATAAGTTTGTATTAATTCAGCCTAAACATGAATAATCAATAGCCTACAAAGTTCAGGCAGTTCTCCAAAAAACACATTTCATGCAGCTTCTTCAAGCTTCTTCCTTTCTCCTTCTTCCCTCCCCATGGAATCTAACATAGTGTCATCCTTTTTCTTTATAGATGATGTGTTTCTACCCAAAGACATTGATCTAGATAGCGTGGAAATGGATGAAACAGAGCGAGAAGTGGAGTATTTTAAAAGGTAAAGTGCCATAATCCCTACGTATAAAGCTGCTGTGCTTCCTCCCATATGCTGTGTTTTTAACAAAAAAAAAAAAATCGCACCAACCCACAACTTAACTAACTCCTAGCAGAAAAGCCTGTGTTGTACTGTGTTGTAACATAGCAAATCCTGTTACAGCTGACGTTCTCGATACTATAACAATCACCAAAGCTGTAGATCTATGGGCACAGATCGTAGCTGAGTAGCACAAATACAGAAATGAGTGCCAGAATCATCTATGTGTCCCCCAGGTTCTCATCAATGCTTTCAGAATATTCTCAGTTACCATTTTTTTATATAAGCAAAGTTTGCATGAATATTTGTTTCATCCACACTGACCAAATACTGATTAGTGTTAAAAAAAAAAATTAAAATCTATGTTAGGTGTTAATTGTTGATCAAATAAAACTATGTTTTAAATTCCAGACCAGATACTTCAAAAAGGTTTGTTCATGATGTTTTCTTCCTTGTTTATAGGAGCTATTAGTTTGGAATTTTATACTGTACATGAAGTAGAGATGGTATAACTGTGGGATATTAGCTTATGCAAATCATAAAGAGGGAATGTTTATGCTAGTGCAGTGACAGTAAAAGAATAATATGAACCTGTGCTTGTGAAACACTTTTCTGTGCATTTTGGTTGCTTTAGGGATGTACACATCACATTAGTTACGTTTAAATTCCTCAAATATGAGCAGACAGCTCATGTTTAAATAATGTAGCACATGTTCTTCCATAATACTGAAATCTACTCAAGTTTGTGTTCTTTAATGGTGGCTGGGTGTGCTAGTTTCCCATGAAAACATCTAGTAAGGCTTTCATCACGATAGCCAAATCTGAAGTGTTACAAGCAAATCAGTTTCCTGCAGTTGAATAATTTAGGAATCAACAGTAGTATTTCATGAAACCACTAAAGCCATTTGTTTAAGGGGTAGGGTTTTTTAAGAAAGGGCTTTCAGTATGGATTTCAAGTTCTTTTCTAAATTTATATAGTTTTCATAGTCTGTTTGCCTGATATGCAATGTATGTCTGGGTCTTGCAAAGGACAGAGTACAACTGCTTCTCTGTGCTGCTTATTATTACTAAACAAAATGCATATGTCTGTGATTATTTATGGAGTTACTCTATTCTTCACAATTATTTTTGAGTGATGCAAATTAAAGGATTTTTTTTTTAAATTGGAGTGTAGGTTTTATAGGTGAAATGTGGCATATATTAGATAGTGCTAGTGTTGGTATAGCATAAGGCTTTGTTACGGGTTTCATGGAATATTCTTAGTTTCATTCAAGTTCGCAGTATCTGTAAAAATAAAATACAAAAGTTCTTTTCACCAGTTCCCTACTCTCAATAGGACGAATGAAGTAGTGTCTTATATTTGTAGAAGTGCAGCTGAAATTTGGAGATAAACTTGTCAAACGTGATTCCAAATGAAGAATTAACACTTTTAACTGTACTGTTTTGTAATTGGTTCAGTAACTGGTGTAATCTACTCCTGTACTGTCATCTGTTAGCAAGTGTGTGTAACTGTCCAATTTTTTTTATGTATACCTGTCTGAAAAGCCCTGATAGATGCCGTTCTTGGGCAGAAAAACAGCTACTTAATGCAGTGAAGGCACCTTTAATGCATATGTTTTCTGTCACTTGATAATTTCCAACATAATACTTAGAAAGCTAGCAACATTGCTTGTTTTAGTAACCCTCCATGACAATGAGCTGCACAGGCCTACTGAATGCATACTTTCTACTGATAGTTAATTTGTCATCTTTCCTTCTTGCTTTGTAGTGGCGTAATAGATGGATACTTCAATTACACCCTGACTTCGGAATTAATTTTGCAAGCTACTGTTAACTTTAGCATAGAAAGAACAAAATAAGTCTAGCTCTTCTAACCTTCCACTGTACCTTTTCTATTTTGCTCCTTCTGTCTGCTCCCCTTTTTTGGCTTTCAGTTGTTACAGAAGCTGTATAGCCTTCCAGAGAGGGGTATGCGCTACCTTGATGCTGTCATGCAGCCTTTAGCCTAAACAAGTTACACCTTGCCTTGATAAAATTCTTCAGCATGAATTAACTGTTACTGAAATGCCTGCATATGGCAACCTTTTTCAAAATTTCTTCCATAAGTTGTGTTCAGTGAAAGCAAATAAGTAGATTTTTGTTCTAAAGGTGCTTTTTCCAGGCATGTGGGCTACTTACCTGCTGTATTTATAAACAAACCTCCTTTCCCTAGGTCTTTGTCTCCAGCATAACTTCGCTGTATTCATGAGAGAAGCAGTGGTGTCCCATGCCATTGGTGCTTCTGCTTTACACATCACCTATCACTCATTCTTACTGTTACAAAGTTTTTGGGAAATACAGCAATGTCATCTCCGTTTCTAGTTAACATTCAGCTAGCTTCTGTGCTGCTAAATATTCAGTGTTCTTTGCTACTTCATTCACTTACTCATGATAATGCAACAGTGTTTAAGGTAACTGGTTTGTGATATATTTGAGTGATGGACAAGTGCTTTGGGTTTTTTTAGGTATGATTTTTTAAGAGGTTTTGTCTTTCTGAATGAGAGCTGCTTGTCTAAAGAGGGATAACACCTGTGGTTTGATTTTAAGTATATTGGTTTCACTTTATCAATTTTTTCTTTTCAGATTCTGCTTGGATTCTGCCAGACAGACAAGGCAGAGACTTTCCATCAACTGGTCCAATTTTAGCTTGAAAAAAACCACCTTTGCTGCACATTGAAATGACACAATATGGGGAGGGAACCCTGCAGGAATCAATGAACGACAACTCCACTTACCTGTCCTGCTGTGCTGAGAGCTTATCTGGTCTTGAGCCAGTGCTGCCTTGCCTTGTCCCCAGTGCTGTGTGGATCTGCACTGAACCCTTTGGCCTGATAATTCTTGCGGACTGAAAAATTGCCACTTTCTACCTGAATTTGTTAGCTTGTGTGCTTGTAGTCTGTGAGTGAGACTTACTTGATTGTAGCTGTATGCTGTTGGAGTTGGAACAATAGCTCTTTTCCATCTCCTTCTGAATGCCTTGGCCTCAAAGACTTTAAATTGCTTAGGCTTGGGTGGAGGCCAAAATACTAGTTTGCATCATCTGCAGTGGCTCCTGTCACTTCTGCATCTAGCTATGTTTTGTCATTCTGACTCCTGACAAAGGAATGGACCTAGTCAGTTGTGCTTTCATCTGCTCCAGAATTCTTCTGACATGACTTCATGAAAAAGAGGCTCTTATGGGACAAGTATTTCCTCAGTTCTTTCACAATCTACTGTTTAAGAGTGTACAAGTTACGCTATTTGTGTTTTGATTTTTTTTTTTTCTGACTTGTAGCCAGCTTGTGTAAGAATACTTGCAGAATGAGAAAATTTAAAAAAGAACAGTACTCACACTATCAAATCTGTTATAGAGTGTATAATTGTATTAACACTGAAGCCTAACTGGCTACTTTTTTAACATATTGTTAAGTAATATTAAAATCATGTCTTTCTTTTTGAAAGATGGAATACATTAGTATGGCAGAAGACTTGTGTCTTGCTTTTTTCTGCTTGGGTGGGAAAAGGGAAGAAACAAACATACCAAACAAGTAATGTTTTTCTAAACTAAATTCCGTCTTATGTCAAAATTGGTCAGTGAATGCTACTCAACTTCAGCGTATTCCTTGTTTGCCAGCTCAGCTGATGGGAAAAACCTGCTGTCTGCTAGAGCAAGGAAGACTCCTGCTGAATGCTGGAGTTAAGTTTGTGAATTCTGTGAATTACTGTAATGCTTCTCTTTCAATGGATAATTTGTAAGAAACAAGGTAATACAAAAATTTCCAATTTAATGTCAGTGCAGAAATGAAGCAGATAGGCTCAATGCTGCTATCGTGTAAATAGTTAACAATATGGTAATGTTATACAGGTTGCATAGTACTGCCCAGCATGGAAGAAAACTGATAGTTTAGGATTTTGATCTGTCTAAAGATATTGCACTTGTAGAAGTTTTTCTGATACTGTGCTATATATTCAGAAGAGACAATAGAATCTTTCTTTTTACTTCCAGATGACCATACTTATATAAATTATGTCAGTCTTCCTTTTTTTTTTTTAAGAAAAGAGTACTTCCACTCAGTGTGTATTTAAAAGGACTATACAGCTTCAAAGCCCAGTAACGTCCTTTTCCAGAACCATTCCACATTTTTCTTTCCTCTACTTGTTAACACGTACTTTTTTTGTGATATACCCACTGGGCTTGGGACTGCTTTGCAAGACAGTGTAATTACACTTGGCTTCAGACTCAAGAAGGTTTAATGGATGATTGCTTCCATGTCCGCTGTGAGGTCCAGATGTAGCAGGAGGATTGGGTTGGCTACAGACCACTGGGATATTTACAACTTCACATCCTTGTTGGTCCTGGAGCTCCTGTCCCAGTGTGTGCTGCTGGTACAGAATATAGTTGCTCAGCTTATACCCAGCCATTGTAGCTAAATGAGCCCTCAGTCTCGTTTTGTAGAGGAGGGAATGACAAATACCTGTTCTCAAAATATAGTCCAGGCATGTAAAAGTCAGAACTTATATTACTCTTCCTCAGATTCAGGTTGTGGAAGGGATTAATAGCTTAGCCTCACTTTTTTTGTCAATGCAGTATTGTAGTATATAGTTTTTATTTGCTTGTGCTGGAGGAATAGCATCTCAAATCTAAAAGGTAGTATATATGCCACTTAGCACCAACTGTGTCTGCAAAACTATGTACTGTTGAAAATACCTGCATCAGTTAGTGGAGAAGAAAGAACATTGTTTCTTGGGATCATGGAGGCTTGCATCTGTTGCAACCTGAGTTATATCTTCGTTATGTAGAAGTGGTGAGGCTTCTCATGTGGGACAGTGGCTGTGAAAAAAAAAAAAAAAATGCTGTTAAAACAGCTGAAGCTGGATGTTTGTGTGAAATCCCAACTTTTCAGACTTGTTCAGTTCTGAACTGTTACACAAGGTGGCAGTGTATGTCATCACTAGTAATTTCTAGGTCAGTGATCTCAACAAATTGAGGCATAGGATGGAAAAACTAGCTGATGTCACATGGGCGAATATTGGTGTAGATCCCAGCTTCTCTAGGGTAGGAATGCTTTGAAAGTACTGAAATTTTTAATGGTGCTAGAAAACTCATTTCATAGCATTTGTTTTCACTAGTAAATGGGGAAGAAAGTCAGCTTTATTCTCTATTAAGAAAGCTGTTCAGAGTGTTACATGAATGTGACTGCTTCTCTTTATTTTGAAATCCTGGGTTAGGACAACAGAAGTCCTTCTGCATTTGAGCAGTACATGTATGTGTTTGTAATAACTTTCAAAGATATTTGTCTTATGCTCCATCGTGGTATATTAGTACAACTGACACGATTCCATGCACTACACAGAAAGCATGAAGAATGAGGCTCCATGGATCTGCTGTTGTTGCACCCTGGTGAGAACTTAAAGGCAAGTCGTATTTTTCTAAATTCATAATTAAATGAAGATAAGCATGGCCTAGTCTGGGAGCCAGCAGATTTGAAAGTACTGGCTTCAGTTCTACCACTTTTGCGGCCTTGGGCAAATGAATTAATTACTGTTATCCCATTCATTAAATGGGCTTATTAAGGATTTGCTGAATTATGAGCATGTTTTAATGCCTAAATAAGCAGCGATGTAAAGTCTGTTTAGGTGCAACACTATAACCTCCTATTAGAGGCACAAATATTCTACACTGGTATTTGTGTAGTTCAGATGCGTTTAATCCAGATATAATACATTCAAAGGTAACTTCAAGTAAAGGAGAACTCTGTAAATAATACATCATGACTGAGTAAATTTGAGTTCTTCATGAGAGTTGGAAGGGGGAAAAATTCTACCTTTGAGACCGGTCTACTTTGATAACTGTAGTGTAACTTGTCCCCCTGTTCCTTACTCATCTTAAGCTGTATGAAAGATTAATATCTAAGCTCTGGAGGTGACTGGTGGCATAGCTATTTTAGGCCTGTCTGCTGATATCAGTGCTGCTGAATCTGAGGATGTGGTACTTTTTCAGGCATTTCCTTAATGGAGGAGGGCATAATTGCATAAAACGTTTGTATCTTGAACAGTGTTGATATTGGATGCTCTAAGACAGCTCTTACACAGGGATGTCTCATCTCTGCTTGGCATTCACTATTGCCGCTTTCTGAGGTAACGTAACTGAGAGTTCAACTCTTCAGCACACTTTTTTGGTGTGGCATCATTGGTACTTAAAACTGTGTAGCTGAGGTTCAGCATGCTGGCAACACAAATCTCACCATAGCCTGAGAAGAAGATTGATGTGTTAAAAATTAATGCACAATGCGACTGTTGAGTGCATAGGCGTTTGGTGTGCTCACTGCTGCTCAAAAAGGCTTTACAAGTTGCTTTCTGTTTCAGTGAAAGGTTAGCTCACCTTTACTTTAGTGTGGATCCTGTTGTATCATGATGGAGAAATTAATGGTTACTGGAGTAAATGTTTGATATTCACAATTTCACACATCTCCCAGTACAAATGAAGGTGTGCAACTTGTAATTGCAGAAGCTATTCTAAAAAAAAAAAAAAACCAAATCTCTGATTGCTATGTTGTAACATACATCTGAGTGAGATTAGGTGTGTAGTATCTTTGTTGTCTTTGGCTCTTTCTCTGTATTTAAATCTCCAGGAAATCTGAAGACTGAAAACTTTGGTAGGGGAATTCTCTGAAGTGAAGTCACACAAGTGTTGATTTGGGATGTCTTCCTACCTCTTCCTGTCCATCAGAAAGAACTTTTTAAAAAAAATTCCAGTTTTCCAAATTTTAAATGCCTTCCTAATCACCAACAACTTGTCTGTCCTGTTACCCCATTTGTCATTAACTGAAAATGTTAAACATAAAAATGTTTTATCTTGTACTGCTGCTACAGGCAGCTGATATAAGTGAACTGTTGTTGAAAGGAGGATGTTTTTCTCTTCTGTTCTGTTTTCCCCAGTGAACAAAGATGTAACAATACCAAACCTTTGGACCTCATTTCTATTCTTCACAGGTGTATGCATTTAGTTTCAGCTTTGCTGCTGCTTTTAGCTGTACAGTTGGGCTTCTCCCAGCTTGGTGCTTAAAGATGTGGAAGAAACTACCTATTGATGCGCTCGAGATCTACATGAACTGTTGAAAAACATGCCAGGTAAACCTGTGTTTTCCTGTAACTGTACTCTTGAATTTTTACTGGTTTGCTTATAAAGATGATAGGTACAAATAGGATTTTTTAAGTAGATGGTGTCCAATTTCTATCTCTGTGGTAGACATAAAACAAAAGGGGAGAAGGTATATATTGATTGTATCTTCTCCAATGTGTTTTCCTCAGTGATTTTTATTTTTTAAACCTTCCACTGGTTTTAATGTCTCATTTTAGGATGGCTTGAAGCGTGTTTTAACACTTCAATCACAGGTCCATAGCCCTTAAAGTTGCTGTTTCACCAGGTATTATTTGATCAGAAATATGTAGTTTTATTGTGTCGTTAGCAGCTCTTTAGGCAGAGTTGCCAGGAGAGCTGACTGTGTGTAGTCTGGATGTTTGTTTAACCTAAAATTTCCTTCCAGTATATCCCTGTTGCAGAAGTACAGCAATCCACAGATCTGCATAGACACAATGTGTGAAGAGGGATCTACTTGGACAGTTCTTCTCTAGAAATTGCCCAAAGACAAACCTCCACCAGTGATGAGCATTCGGGAACCTCATGTCAACCTTAACCCCCATTTTTTTTCACCAGTTTTTCTGGAAGCTGAACAGAAAAGTAGACCCAAAATCTCTTTAACAATGCTGTAATACCCATAAGCTGATGATTTCAGATTTGTTAACTGCCAAGGAACATATGAGAAGGTAATGTTTTTGCTGCACATAATACTTATGTCCAGCTTGCCATCTATGAAGAGAGGAGGCAGTGGGCAGGCAGGTATAATATCTGTGAAGAAAAAGTGGCACCTAGTATTGAATGGAAGAATAAATAAAAATCTATACTGATGTTCTCACAAAAGATTATGTCACTTACATTGCATAAACTAGCATGCATTCCACACCAAGTATGCCACTCAACCAGCTTATACAAGTTTGATTTTTCTGAGGGAAAGATGTCTAGACTTGCTTGCCCAGTCTGTTTTGTTTTTTTTTTTTTTTAAACAGGTTGTTGACTCAAATCAAGTTAGTACAATGGCTTGTGCTGGTTTTGAGGGGTTTTTTTGCATGCAGGCAGCATGATGTTGTCTAAGGTTGTTTTACTTGACTGAAATGCAAGATCTGAATCCAGTGCTCTGCAGTGGAAAAGCTGGAATGCCAAACTCCTCAGACCAAATGAGTGTACTGCTGCCTGCTGTTGCTTCAACAGACTTCATGCTGCAAACCAGTCATTTGCATCAGCTCATGGGAGAGTGGTTCCATATTAACTGGAAATACATAATCAGCAAAGCCCTCTTCTTCCAAAAGGGGGGAAAAAAGTGGGAATCAAGTCACCTGAAGTCAGATATTTCACAGAATCATAGAATGGTTTGGGTTGGAAAGGACCTTAAAGATCATCTAGTCCAACCCCCTGCCGTGGGCAGGGACACCTTCCACTACACCAGGTTGCTCAAAGCCCCATCAAACCTGGCCTTGAACACTTCCAGGGAGGCAGCATCCACAACTTCTCTGGGCGACCTGTGCCAGTGTCTTACCAACCTCCCAGTAAAGAGTATCTTCCTAGTATTTAACCTAAATCTACCCTCTTTCAGTTTAAAACTGTGACCCCTTGTCCCATCAGTACACTCGCTGTTAAAGAGTCCTTCCTCAGCTTTCCTGTAGGCCCCCTTTAGGTACTGGAAGGCTGCTAGAAGGTCTCCCTGGAGCCTTCTCTTCTCCAGGCTGAACAACCCCAGCTCTCAGCCTGTCCTCATAAGGGAGATGCTCCAGCCCCTGATCATCTTTGTGGCCCTCCTCTGGACTTGCTCCAACAGTTCCATGTCCTTCTTATGTTGGGGGCGCCAGAGTGAACGCAGTACTCCAGGTGGGGTCTCATGAGAGTAGAGTACAGGCGGAGTATCACCTCCCTCGACCTGCTGGCCACGCTTCTTTTGATGCAGCCCAGAATGCAATTGGCTTTCTGGGCTATGAGCGCACATTGCTGGCTCATATTCAGTTTTTCATCCACTAATATCCCCAAGTCCTTCTCCCAAGGGCTGCTGTCAATCCACTCATTGCCCAGCCGCTATTTGTGCCTGGGATGGCCCCAACCCATGTGCAGCATCTTTCACTTGGCCTTGTTGAACTTCATGAGGTTCGCACAGGCCCACCTCTCAAACCTGTCAAGGTACCTCTGGATGGCATCCCTTCCCTCCAGCGTGTCGACCGCACCACACAGCTTGGTGTTGTTAGAAAACTAGCTGAGGGTGCACTCAATACCACTGTCTGTGTTGCCAACAAAGATGTTAAACAGCACCGGTCCCAATACCAACCCTTGAGGAACACCTCTCTTCAGAGGGAGAGATGGAAGGAGCTACATATCTTATGCAGGTAAACAGAGCTTTTGGGTTCTCAGAGCTATCCATGTAGTGGATCTGTTGAGAAAGAGGTTTTTTATTATTTTTTATCGCTCTTGAGTGATGACATGCAATGAAATAATGAGAATGTATGTTGTGTATTTCCATGCACCATAGTTGTGTAGTCTTGCTGACTGTGAAAGATATGATTGCCTCTTCAAAGTAGGAGTGGAAGAAGTGCCCATAGTACACTAGTATCTAACGTACCAACAACACTGTTGCCTCTATCCTTTCATGCAAGGTCATCTTTTAGATTTCTTAATTGGGTGTACTCTTACTTTCTGTAACAGTCTGCAAATCAAGTCTTTGTTTACCTGTTAACTAGAAGACAAAATTTTCCATTTGAAGAGAAATGGTAGCAAACTGTATTTTCATTAATCTTATATGGGGCTTCTATTTACTTCTTTCTGTGCCATCAGACTATCTTACAAGCTTTAAAAGGTAATGTATCTTTCCTTCTTAGACTCGGAGTGCATGTCTGAAAAGTCCATTTAAAGAATTAATGAACATTTTCAGTAGTGTAACCGTGGGGCATGTCACTTGCCCAAACCATTTTGTGGTCTACAGTGAAATTGTTTCAGTCATTCATTCTCCCCAGCTGTTTCTGAGCTTTTGTGTCATTTACATTGGTCATACTTTACATATTTCACCAGGTGGGGAAACTTTCTGAAGGCTGTCTTGTAGAAAATCCTATCCTTTCTGTATCATGAGTTATGCTCTTTGAGTCAAGAGGCATGAAATTGTGTACTGACTGTTCTTTTTTATTAAAAAAAAAAAAAATCTGGGACTGCTGCCTACGGTCTTCAAGTGTAATTCTGAGAGGAGCTGGCATAATGTCGGTGAAGATAAACTTGAGTGGCTAAGAACAGAATTGTAAGGCAAAAGGCTTAAGTCTGTTATGTGATGTGTTGCTCCTTATTCATACTACAGAGCTTTTGTTTAACACCTAGCAAAGCAGTTCATAGAACAGCCTGCCAGGGAAAGTGTTAAGTACATCACTCAACTTCTCCATACTGTGTTTTGCTGGTTTGTAAATTGGTACAGAAACATAATTGGTAGTTGAGCACTGGTGAAAGAGTTATGTAAATGCATGTGTAAAGTCATAACAGGTTTCAGATGTTTCTGAGATTCCCTGCTGATCTACAGCTGGGGACATAATGCTAGACAGTGATGTAAACAAGTGGAAATGCAAGAATTAAACAGGTCAGTGTACTCATTATACAGTGTGAGAAATAATCATCTTGCCGCATCAGAACTGTTACTCTCTTCCAAAGTATTTCTTTATTTCGGTTCATTCAAAGACCACCAGTTATGATCATTATGGTAACTGCTCCTCTGAAATCCATTTTTAACTAGTCTTAACAATTAGGCAATCCCAAGTGGTCACAGCTGAGTTCCTGGAGGGAGTTGGCATGTTTTTATGTGGTCTGAACTTTACATGTCTTGCTTTTGTCAGTGTTAGCCAGTATAGCCTGATTGTTTTTCTCTTTCTTTGTGCAGATGCCTTTTTTGGACACTAATCTATCTACACTTGTGCAATAGGAGCTTCATCTCTAGATGCCTTGGAACATCTTAGGCATAGGAGTCAGGGGCTTGAATGGATTAAGCATTGGCAGAGACATAGATTTTGGCAATGCCTTGAACTAGGACATGATAATCTGTGTGATCCATGCAAGTAGACTAAACATGGAAGAGAAGCTTAAAATGTTGAAGCCATTACCCATACAAAGGTATGTTTGTCCTTGGGTTGGAATCCTTTAAACTATGTGGTATAGGGACAGATAAGATCTGGCATGACATGTTGCCACTTCCCTTTTCTCATGCCACCGATATGTCAGCATGACATGGTATGGTGTTGTGGGAAAAGCATTTATTGAAAACAACTGGAACCCAAACACAGTTGTAGATCACAATCTCTGGGCTGGCTGGCTGATTTTGCTTATTGCCCAGTTTCTTTAAAAACAAACAAACAAAAAAAACCCCAAACAAACAAAAGCCCAAAACACTCTATGTTTAAATGGGGAGATTATCATCTATACTCTGGGTCTGGTTTTGATACCAATTGACACTTTGTAATATTTAGCTGTTGGTAACTTAAGCAATCTTGAATGTTGCTGTAATACAGAATCACCCAAACAAAAGTAGCCCAATGAGGAAACAGTGCAGCTGGTTGAGAAATTGTGGAAGTGATAGTGTTTTGAAATGACTGGGAGGAAAAAAAACCAACACAAAACCTAATTCTTTTTGTGTATAGCCTGGAACACGTTCTGTGTGTTAGATGGCAGGAGATAATGCAGCATAAGTATGAAAAAGCAGCATGTTACTTATTTCAGTTATGTGTGTAAATGTGGATGCCCTGCTTTAATGTGTAATGGTCTAAAATGGTATTGGTCTTAAAGGTAACATTGTTTTAAATGTGTAAGGCTTAAATGTTGTACAGAGATGACTTCTTAAAATTCTACTTCCTCTTTAATATTTGGGCGGGGGGGCGTGTAGCATTTTTATAGGCCTAAACTTTATAAGATGTGTTATTTCATGGCCATGCTGAGCAAGTGGTGTGCTCTGCACAACTTCAGTCATTGTAACTTGTATGATACCCAAAATTAGGTAGCTGTGGGTAAATGAATAAGGGAAAAATAGCTATTTTTAAGTACTTTTTTCTTAAAAAAGGGGGGGGGTTCTTCATTCTAAGGTCTTTAGCAGTTCCTTTTTGCATTTTATTTGTAAAGCATCTAAAAGAAGGTTGTTGTAAATCTTTAGTGCAAGCTTTTGTGTCCTACAACTCTCTGGAAATGTGTTACTTTCTTTTGGTAAAGGACTCTGATTTAATCCACTTACTTCCTTAAATAGCTTTTGCCTTAACTTGCTGACAGTATTTCTGTTTTATTGTTACCCATGCAATTCAGTAGCTCATCACTGCACTGAGAATTGTTCTTTCTTTAAGAGGATTATTAATGAATATCTGAACTGTGGTAAAGATGTCTCCAAGCGGACACTGGTGTACAACTGCTGAGGCAGGAAAGATGTGAGGCAGCTACAACTTTACTCCAGTTTACAAAAGAAGCATCAGCACAGAGATGAAGCAGTTTTGTTAAGCAGAACTTAGGAGTTAATACTGTGGGGTTTATTTTGTTAAACTGTTATCTCATGCACGCCTGAAATGCTGCCATCACACTGCAGTGTTTCTTATCGTGTGTGGACAGCTGCGTGGCTGAAAATGGATGGAGTGCCCCATGCTGTAGTCAGACCATGTTGCAAGTAAGTTCAGTGGGGTCGGAATGAATTAAAGCTCCTAGTTGTTCT